GGGGGGGAGCTGGGAGGGGTGCGTAGGTATGGTATGTAGAAAAGTTTTGTCCAAAAAGGCATCCCACCTAATGACAAGAAAAAAAGAAATCCAAAATGGAAAAAGCTGGTGTTTTTTCCTCATGATGGTGCAGTCAGGCAACACAATACCATGTGGACCCAAAGGGGAAACCAGATCCCTCTTTTTTCTCCCTTTAACTCCTTCTCTCCTCAAACTAACTAGGGGTCTAACCTCTCCACTAAAATTGTCGCCTATCGACATGCCGCATGCCGGTGTGGCTTTCGGCTAGGAGGCAGCAGCAGCGTATAGAGTTGGAGTAAACAAGACTAAGCGTCGGGGTAAGGACGGAAGAACAAAGGCGATGCTTGGGTTTCGTCGCTTGAGGCTTGTTTAGTTGCTATTTAGGTTTGACACACACGCGGAGCGATTCATGACATGTCGGCATATTTATTCGGAACCAATGATAGTAGAGTTTCTCTGCGGACCAATCATGTGGTGTTCTTCGTTGAGTGTTCCAATAGAAGCCGATGGGCGGCTATTGTGGTTACCATGGACTAGAGCTGCAGCTAGGCAACAGAGTTCACAGATGCCCAAGGCTAACGGGCAGCAACTGACCAGCAAACCACGGCACATGATGAAAGTTAACTTTGATGGTTTCTTTGGGTTCATCTATCAGGAGTAAATAAGCTCGATGCTAGAGTACGCTACAAAGGTATCTGCGGACAAAAATGGTAAGGAAAGAGTGGTACAGGAGACGGGAGAGGTATAAGCGTATGTACAGACGGCACGAATGTCTTCGTGCGCAGGCGACAAACATTGCAGTAGCTGCTTTAGAAAGCCATGACAATTTGCAAAACTTTCAGACATCATCTTCGTCGATGAACAGATGGACTAGATGTTCGACTTATCCACGCCATCTTCTACACGGTCTCAACATAGTTGCTTTAAAGAGTCAGCAAAAATACGAGGTAGTAGCGAGCAAAGTCAAGACGTACCTTGGGAAGATGCCTTCCCTACTTCCTATGCGACCGGTCCACCAATCGGTTTCGTTGTCGGTGCGCTTGATAATAGTGATGATATCGCCCTTTTTGAAGCCGAGATCGCCCGGTTGATCAGCGTCAAAGGTGAATTTTGCTATGGCCTGGTCGGATTGCAAGCTCGCCTTCTTCTGTCCAGTGGTCTGGCCAAAGACTGGCTTCGGGGCCGAGGGTCGTCCAGGCTTGCGATCACTGTACGAATAGTAGTCATCGCCAAATGTCGAGGCGCGGTTCCGTGAGTCGATACGATCAAAGGTCTCGGTAGGGTTAGCGCGGGTGGAATATGAGCGGTTGAGACCGCCAGGTGCGGATGATGGCTGTCGGTCGTAGACATCGTCTGCCCAAGAAGAGGATTGCTGGTGGTTCCTGTACTGGTAGTCGTCATGGTGTGAGCCCATTGAGCCAGTGCGATCTCGTCGTACACCTTCACCCATGGCAGAGCCGTGGCGGCCCTGCCAAACCACATTGTCGTGTGCATCATCATAGACAGGAATATCGTTGTACATGGCATCATTTGTGACGCTCTGCGCTCCTCCTACACCAGAAAACGCTCTGGAGTTGAGGACGCGCAAGAGCGGCTCAGCAGCTGGTGGCGGAGGGACTTGGCCGCTCAGGATTTCCCTGGCAGTCCACCGGCGTCCGTAAAGCTTCTCATTGGCATCTCTGCGCTCGATTATACCACTGCCCTCAAGACTAACTCCCGCAAACAAGCCTTTTGTCTTGCTGTAGCTGAAAATGCCCGCCACGCTCTTCAAGCTGGCTGCGCCGGCTGCTTCGGCATTGCGACCGACCGGACCCGCGGCAATGGAGACATTGCCTCCCAGTGTTAGCGAACCAGCCTGAGCAAATGTTCGCACGGCAGAGGCATCGTTGAGGATGAAGACGAAGTCAGTGAGCTCAAAGCCGATCTGTCCGCCAAAGCCGCCTCCAATAGTGCCGATAGCTGTAGGCGCCGACCATGATCCGTCGGCGAGACGTGCGACGACGACGCCGGAACCAAATCGCGCAGTGCCGAGAAAGCCAGCCTTGAAAACGGTGAGGATGGCGAGGCCCTACAGAGCATGTTCAGTCAGTACAAGGTGTTGTGCAGCCCAAGCGCCCAAGCGCATCGCATAGCGAAGGGGAAACTAGTAGAGTACTCTACCTTTGCGTTTGCAAGTACGTTTGGCGGGATGATCTTGTCGGGCCCAAAAGCCTGTCGCGGGTCGACAAAGGAGGCCAGGATCTTTCCCGTCTTGCGACATTCGCCTGGAGAGAAGATTGTATCAGCGACGTCACTAGCCGAAACAGCAACAGAGCCCATGACTTACTGGCCATGGACGACGGCAGCGGGTTGTTGAGACTAAAGCCCATGGCGGCGGTAGTGTGCTCTCTGCGGAGCGGCAGGCAGGAAAAGAGGCGCTGCTAGGGGTGGATGTAGGGTATGTGTGGAAGAGTGAAAGAGAGCGTGCAGTGCATGCGGTGCTGGAGCGGGCGGCAGGAACATGGCGGGTCAGCGCGGGGGACCATGTCATAGTGTGGCTGAGTCGCCCTCGTCCGATCCGACATCCGACGCGTCCTCTGCCTTTGCTTGGCCTTCGTCCAATCCACCCAACCACCTGAACACTGCGCACAACCAAAAGTCACACGTTTGTATACAGCAAGATGCGCGACGCGCCTCGCCTTAGTCATGCATCCAGTTGCTACCTCGTGGCACCCTGACCTTCATCTCCACTACGCTACCCGCCGATCGACGACGGAGGATCGCCTTCCGGTAGCATCGCGCGACTATGTCCTCACCTCTACCACCAAGTAGCTCGCCGACCAGTGCCCGAAATAGTACTATCATGTAGTTGTGCTGTGTAGACCTTCCAGCCTGTTCTTGTCTACATCCCTCTTAGACTTCAAGAAAACCAACTGTAATCCATTGATTTTGGACAACCACTAAGAACCACCACCACTGTCCGTCAGATTCGGCATTCAGTCAGTAGACACAAATGACAGCCGGTCGTTGGGAAAACGCTCCGAGTGCGACTATGAAGCGCCCCTCAACAAGGGCTTCCCGCCCCTATTGCGCGTAAATGTTCCTAGTGGTCCCTTGCAGCCCGACCCGCACGCCACACTTCACTAGTCTCATCAACTCGCCATGCCATCCTGTTCACTAACCATGTCCATTGCCGCACTAACATGGCGCCGCACCAGCGTAGAAGACTGCTACTTGGAAATTGACTTTTGGCTACTGCTAGTGTTTTCGCTCTCCACTTAGACTATGTATATGGCTGGTCACTGTCGCCATGGCCTGGTTTCGACCCGGATATCATCTTTCTCAGCCAACATTCTTTACCTCTCTCTGGCGGAACAGCTGCCATCGTCACCATGGAACTGTTGGAAATGCTTGTCAAGTGCCTGGGCGCTGAGCGACCCGATCCTGGCTGTCCAGCCCTCATGCCGCCAACAGGCGAAATGCCACTCAACCCCAATGCCTCGACCATCTGGCCCTGGGGACTGCCAATCATCATCACTTGCTTCGCCCTTACCGGAATCGCCATGATGATCCGTATCTTCACCAGAGCCTACCTCACCAGACTCTTCACCTTCGATGACGCAGTCATGATTGCCGCAACAGTCACGTACTTTGCTTTTGTTTCCGTCACTTTAGACAGCATTAGTATGGGCTTTGGCAAGCATCAATGGAATGTCACAGTTGGCGAGGGTATGCGTGCTCTACGCCGCGCCTACTGGGTCCAAATCGTCTACTGCATCGCCATGTATACGACAAAGCTCGGTGTGCTTCTTCAGATCAAGTCCACCTTCAACAGCAAGTCGCGAGACTTCATGTTCTGGTCATGTTGGGCGTGCATTGTCTCCTTCAGCTGCGTCTATACCGCAAGCTTGTTCACCTGGATCTTCCCCTGCAATCCCATAAAGAAGAAGTGGGATCCATTCATCCCAGGAACGTGCCTCCCTACTCATGCTGGACCGAGTCTCCTGAGCGGCATCATCAACCTAGTGACCGACGTTGCTCTTTTATTCCTTCCAATCTACGTCGTCTCACGCCTACAGATGAGCATCAAGAAGAAGTTTGCCGTTTCTGCCATCTTTGGAGCTGCGCTTCTGTAAGTCCTTTCCACCATGGGTGAAGATGTAAAACTAACCATTGCACTAGCGCATGCGTTAGCAGTGCCGTCCGACTTCATTACACCATCCTGCACCTCGACAGCAAAGACAACACATACTGGCTTGCCATTCTCGCAGTCTGCGCCATCATTGAGATTTCCGCACTCCTCCTCTGCGGTGCCTTCCCTACCTTTCCTCATTTCGCAAAATGGCTTGGCTATGGCTTCAAGTGGCAGTCAACAGGATACACCGTCACAAACTCCGGAAAAGACTCTCGCTCAAATCAATCCGACACGATCAATCTGACAGATCGCCAACAAAAGAGTGTAAACGATCCAGTATAATCCTTGTCATTCGGCAGTGCCGGAAATAGAATGTATACTTTATCATGATTGTTAACGGTCCGACCACGATGAACGCACGTTTCAGATATCCCACCAACTTTGCGGTCCGCTCCCCCACCCATCTTCTCGAAAGATTGAAACCTTGCGACTTCCGTTCTCCTCGGTCCATGCGCGGAACATGCCGCCGCAATTGTAGTCCTGGACGACTTGTACTTTATTCCCAACAAGCTCGATACCTATGATTCCACCGACGCCTTCGTGGACCCCGTCCCATCGGTTGCCGGCACTTTTTTGGAGTTCACCACCGCGGCCGACCATCCATGTGGTTGCGTCGCTGAGAGATTGCGAAGAAAAGCGAGATTTGGCCGCTGTCGTTCGGGCGGCCGATGTGCGGAGGAAAGAGTCGCCATTGCCGGTCCCCGAAAGACCCACGGCATGGCGAACGGGGATAGGTTCTTTATTGTCCGGACTTGGCGTTGCTGCGGTTTGTCTTGAGGAGGACGAGCCGAGTGTTGGGAGACAGCCGCCAAGCGCACCGTACAGGTCGCCTCTGGAGAGCTTGTCTATTGGTGCCACAGCCTGCGGGACGGGCTGATACTGCATCTTCGCAGCTGGAGCATCCTCGTACCACTCTTCGGCCCAGAATCCAGCTCCTATAGTTGGTGTATCGCCAACGCGTCCATCAACCTTGTTCGTCAAACCCCCTGTAGACGTAGCAGTACATATAGTCCCATAGCAATCCACAACAACAGCACCGCACGTCCCTAGCGGTAAATAATGATTCTTCTCCCATTCGCTCGTCTCACGTACCCCCATCCCTGCATCACCACCCATCTTCCCCTCCTCCTCCAACCCCCTCAAATGCTCATCCCACCTCCTCTGCGTAAAAAACCAACTCGGCTCCACAATCTCCAACCCCCAACTCCTCGCCAACCCCTCCGCAACCTCCCCACTGTAAAAACAATGATCCCCGGCTCCACCACCCCCATCCGCCTGCTCCCCGCGCACAAGCAACTCCTTAGCTAGCAGAATCGGATTCCGCACCCGCCGCAACAACGTACATGCCACGCCGCGCTTCCTATACCCATCCGACACCATAACGCTAGCCTCAAGTTCGTTGTTGCCTCGGCGCGTAAACACCGCTCCATGTGCGGAATTAAACAACGGGTCTTCTTCCAAGAGCGTAACCGCGTACGTCGCGACGTCGAGCGCTGTAGCACCCGGTTCCGCCAGCTTATCCGCGGCGGCATCTAGAATGCGCAGCAGGGAGCTACGATACTGCTCGTAAGTCTCGCGCGGTAGGGATGCGCGAGTGATGTTTCCTGCGCCACCGTGAATGACGATGCGCGGGTGGATGGTTCCGGTAGGTTGGGTCTGGCGCTTCTTTTCTTCCATGGTAATGTGCTTAAATTCAGTAGTTACTAGTTGGAGTTGGGGGGGTGTTGGGCCAAGCCGAAAAAGTGTCGGAGTTTTGTAGTCGGGGTTATATCGGCGGGTAAAGCGTAGGGATGCGCTTGAGTGCTGATTGGGTGGAGATAGCGCGGGGGGAGGGGGGAGAAGGGGGACGGGTTCGATTAGATCGCATGGTGGGGGTGCGCTTTGTGGCGTTTTTTTTCAAACATAGCGATGAGGGACGTCGGCTGGGATATGCTTGGTTGCGGGTTCAAAGATGCTGGCTTCCCCGCGTTAATATTGAGGTTTTTGGTTTGCCTGGCTTATGCTGGTCTGCGAATGACATGCATTGGTGCTGTTTGGTTGCACATCGTAATCTTAGGGGGTTCGAGGGGAGGTCCCGGGAGAGTGGTTTGGAGGGCTTGGAATACGATGGCGCGGCGGAAGATCGAAAAAGTAATATGGGCGAAGGGGTCATTGCATACGTGGTACCTGCGTTTTTTTGTCTCCGATGAAGTGGCGCTTGAACTTGCAGCCTAGCGTGATTGAAGGGGGGTTGCGGGGTTAGGAAAAAGCAATACGAGTTCGGCGTAGTTTTGGGTTTTGGTCTCAAGCGTAGTTGTTGTAGCGTTTGCTTGGTCAGGATAGAGTAATAAGATTAATGTCACATGACATGAAAGATTAACATTGATAGTTACTAGCAAACAATCTAGTTTTCATCGCGAAATAACCCAGACCCTCCCCCTTTCAATCTAGTGTTGTTGACAATAGCCCAATTCTAAACCTTACACTCATCGTCTCCCTACGTCGACGTATTCCCATTACCCACCCCAACACCCGCATCCGTCCCCTTCCTCTCTACAACCGGCTCCTCCTTCTCCTGCCTCACCTTTCCCACTTCCTTCGCCGGCCCCTCATACCCAATCGCCTTGAGCCACTCCGGATCAATATTCTCCAGTTGCAAATACGGACTAACATCGCTATTGGGGAACTTGGCATTGCATACCGCATACCCCATTCCCAGATGCGCCCACGGATTCTTGTGCAGGTACTCAATGTCAAAGTCCTCGTACCGCGGCGTCTCAATCAATTCTGAATAATGATTCGATGAACCGGGCCACACGGCATTGACGCGGCCAGTGTCGTTGTTCTTGTACCAAGAGCGACATTCGCCTTTCCAGACTGTATGCTTGATCCACTCCTGTGCGTGATCGTTGAACTGATCGGTAATGTCTTGGCGAGGTACCCACGACTTGATATGGTCGCGCTGCATCTTCTTGATGATTTTCACGGTGTACTCTGCGACACCGAGCAGCGGGCCCGTCACCGATCCGTTTTCTACGGGCCACGTAGGGCCGATGTACATGAGCCAATTAGGGATTTCTGGGCATGCGAGGCCGAGGTAGCCTTTTGGTTCGTCTTTCCATTTTTCCGCGAGGTCCACGCCGTTTTTGCCGATGATGGGGAAGCGTGGGCGGTAGGTGACGTCGAAGCCTGTTGCGCAGACTATGGTGTCGACTTCTCGCTCGATGCCGTCGGCGCCCATGACGCCTTTCTCGGTTATTTCGTTGACGGCGGTGAAGTGTACGTCGACGTTCGGTTCTTGAATGGCTTTCATGTACGGGTCGCCTGGTGTGATTCTACGGCCTGAAGATGGTATTAGCATTCATGCGACTTTGCAGGTATCCAGCGAGCAACTTACATCCCACCTCGAATTTCGGCGTAAATCCCTGCAACAATCGCTCGTCTTTGATATGCTCCTTCATTCTTTCCCGAAGCATATCCTGGGCCTGCTTCTGTAACTCGTTGCCCGTATAAAAGGTGCCCCAAAGCCCATTCACTTGATCTTCAATATCCTTGGCATGCGCCACCATCTTGCCTGGGTCCTTTCGAAACTCCTCGCGTTCTTCCTCCGAGTACTCCTTGTTCTGACCAAAGTTATTCGCAATCTGGACGAACCAAACACCCGTGCGGACGAAGATGTCCATGTGCTTAACGTGCGGTTGCATGGTGGGTACAGTCTGGATCGACGAAGCACCAGAGCCTATAATAGCCACGCGATCGTTCTTCCACTGCTCGGCCTGGTAGTCCTGCGGCCAAGCGGCCGTATGCACTATGCGTCCCTTGAAGCTATTGATACCCTTGATACCCGGCCACTTATAGTTATTCAGAATTCCCGAGGCGTACAGCAGGAGATCACATTCCTCTTCGAATTCTCGCTCCTCGCCTGAAGGGCTCTTCTGCCGCAGTGTGACTCTCCACTTTCCAGCCTCGTCCTGCCATTCTGCTCGCACCACTTCCGTGTTGAATGTCATGTACTTGCGTAGACCAAATACATCACAGACTTTCTCGAGATACTTGAGGATATCTGGGGCGTAGGAAAAGAAGCGGGGCCAGTCCGGGTTCAGTGCAAAGTTGAGGGTGTAGGCGTGTGAGGGGATGTCGCATGCGCATCCTACCACAAAAATTACTTTCATGTATACGAGCGTGTTCTTCGTAAAGCGTACCTGGATATCTGTTCTCGAGCCATGTACCCCCAATGCCTGGGTTCTTTTCGTAAATTACGTGTTCTACATTTTGCGTGTACTTTTGTATCTGGTATGCCAATTGTATGCCGGACAGCCCAGCGCCAACGGTCAAAACTTTCACCTTACGCGATGAGGGGTCCTATTTGCCATCAAAATTAGAGTCACAGTGCATGGAAGTGTATCGCATACTTACATTGTAGACGATGTCCGGAATGTTGTATCCGCTTGATCCCGGTGTCGAATAGTCCCATCGAGCGCCGTTGGCTACACCATTGAGATCTTGTGCCATTTCCAAATAGTAAGTATGATCAAGCCACTTCCAGCGTGGATAGTAGGTAAATTGAGATTTCTGAAAACAATTTGTCTGTCTTTTACGTCGGGGACGTCAACAATCCGGCACGCCCGAAGCTGGATATAAATTCAAGATTTAAAACAATACCAAGCACCGACTACGTACAACTTCCACTTCCGTGTAACCCACATTTCATTTTGATCTCGGGTATTATTTATAATGCCCCTCATCCGATCGACATGACACCATCATCTTGGACATCTGTTAGCCGTGAGAATCCCCATACATCTTCCCCGCCTCATCATCATCAAACCGCATTCAGTTCATGCAGTGGGCCGAGTGGGTTTTCGGCGTATCAATCGAGATACATTGCGTAGGGGAAGCGTGGATCACCCAATCACGAGGTTGGTGGGTTGTGGTACTGCTTGCGGGGTTACTGCGGGGTAGTATTCTTTTCTGAGGGCGCGTAGTTTGCACGCCGAGGTTATGCTTGTGTCTGGTGCTGACCACCCACTATCGTGGTGACTAAAATGTCGAAACAGATGAGTCTGTGCGACTATGTCAGGATCGGTGGAATGGAGCTTGTTTCATCGCCATGGGGACGTCTTTTGCTTCCTCAGCATGACGATGTAGTGGGGTCTTGTCGACAGGGGCGTTGTTGTTCATGCTTTATCTAGCATATGTAGTACGAGGTGATGTTTTTGGTTTACTGATATCCAAAGCGGAGTTGAATTTATGGGTTTCGCCTGTTTATTACTCAAATGAATGACATCTGCGATGACGTCTTGAACACCACGCGTTTCTGTTTAGAAAAGAAAATGTGATGAGACGGTCTACATATATATCTATGGGAAAACTTACCTTTATCGAAGAAAACAATGATTGATCTGCGCCTGTAACTCCAACGATCCGACCCGATATATGCGGGTCGGACTTGTCATTTCCGGCAGTATGAGCTCAGCAGGAAGCCAAGATGGTACCAAGGTTGACTAAGTTACACTACATTTCAACCAATTCACTTCCATTTAGAACTCGGACGAATACAGTAATACCGCCAAAACAAAACTCTCGGACGTGGTGAAATTGCAAAGAGGAAACATCCACATCTCTATATACTACCAACACTGTCAACTTGAAAAAATAACATCCCACACAACCACCAGACACATTGAACTCACCTCAATACGTTTTTATGCATCGTATCCACATTACTCCCCCGCTTCGGCACCATTCGCACCCTGCAAACGAAGTATAAGACAGGGTAAGCCGATTAAGAGTTCGTCCGTTTCCCCCGGTTAAACGAAAAGTTAATCATAATCTTTGCAGATAGATAAGCGCTCTCTGTTTTATGCGGGGTAAACCGGGGAGGAAAGAAGACACCTAATTCCGCAGTTTCGAAAAAAAAAGATATGTATTCTCCTTCTAATAAAAACGAGAAACCACAAATTCTAAAGATCTATGAACGCAAAGAAGATGGGAGATTCTATGTTTAATCCCCCTCCTTTCTCTCTCCCTCAAGCAAAATCTCATGACCATCACCTTCCCTAACACCCTGCGCAAGAACCCATCCACCCACAGCCACAAGCCCCATACACCACCACGCCAACCCAATCAACCCCCTTTCAAGCCCCTTTCCAAACAACCAACTGAAGAAAACGGGACCAAACGTGCGCGTAAGACTCGACACCGACTGCCCAATTCCATGCACCGTCCCCAGCACCGAGGGATGGGGACTCGCATTATTAATCAAAATGGCCGTGCACGGCAACGCAAACGTGCGTGCTAGCACTTGAATCGACAATGCCGCCGTAATGGCGATCCAAATCCAGGGTCCTGAGACGCCGAGGGGCGGCGGCGTCCAGCTAGGTACAAGGCTTAAGAAGGGCGTGACAAAGTACATTAGAGGGAAGAAGGCGGTGAAGACGCGGAAGGAGTTTGTTGTACCGAGTCTGTGGGCGATTTTCGGGTAGACGAAGAGTTGGAGGGGGAGGCCGATTACGCCGATTATGGCGAGGGCGAGGCCGATACGCGAAGGGGGCATGCCGAGGCCGCCAGTGAAGAAGAGGCCGTGGGGTTTGAACGATGGGGGGTATGGATGCTCGGGGTCGAAGCGTGGGGTGGAGAGGTGGAGGGTCCAGAGGCCGTTGAAGGTGCTTACGTGCATGGCGAGAGCGCCGTGGGCAAGCATTGTCATGATGAGGTTGGGGGTCCAGATGCGGCGGAAAGGAAGTTGTTGGCGAACCTGCTTGCTTGGTTTATCGATTTGATGAAGAGTAGGCGATGTGGGTGTTTGCTGTAACTCCAGGTCATGGCTAGGAATCATGCTGTAGCCTCGTTCAGAGGCGATGTCCTGGCGGAAGATCGTCCGGCGTATCCAGCGTCCCATTCGAAGGCCGAAATCAGGACGGTCTCTGCAGAGCTCGCCGGTTTCCTCCAGGAAGAACAAAACTGCTAGTGACGACAAACATAAAAACATGGCGCTGACAAGATTAGGTAGCGCATACGGATACCGCATCATCCATTGCACACCATTTTTCCCACCAAACGTAGAGTCTGGTCCGAACAACGACGGATAGTTGGCAACAGGATCTGCGAGTATACCACCTACTCACGTTAGCAGTGCCATAAAACCCTATTCGCACTTCACCTACCCAGCACTGGTCCGATCAACACTCCAACATTAAACGTCATCGGCATGAGCAAAAACGCCCTACTCTGAAACTTCTTCTCCTTGATAATCTCACTAATCATGGTCCTCATGACGCCAATATTTCCATTCACGATCCCTCCCAGACTCCGGAAGAAGACCGCCATGGCGAAATTATGCGAAAATCCAAAGCCAATGGTGCTCAGCATGGTGCCTACCAGACCAAGGTAAATGACGCGCTTGCGACCGCCGTACTCGGAATCGGAAAAGCGGCCCCATAGCATTGCAGTCAAAAACTGAGTTGCGGGAAACGTTGCGCCGATGATTCCTGCTTGGTACGAGAGCGTTGACTCCGAGAGAGAAGGATCAAAAGATTGCAGTTGGTAGTAGAGGTATGCACCCAGTGATGTTTGCGTCAAGGGCTCGGAAAGTCGTGCCAGCACCAATACTAGAAGCTGATCTTTGCGCGGTAGTGCACTCCATGATACGGGCCTGTTCGCTGATTCGGTTTTCCCAGTCTCGCTGCCATCCTCAGTGGCTGTGTCGGTAACGTTGGTGTTGATAGAAAGGTCGCGTGACCTATTTCTTCGGCTGCTAGAAAAACCTCCGACGCCGTCTGCGCTATGCTCTATCGACCGCGATGTATTCCTAGTGTCTGCTGCTGAGCGGGCAGTTTCCGAGTTGTATTGTGCCTCTTGTTCGCCTGAGTCATCTCTGAAACCTGTGCGAGTGGCGCCGTAGCCAGACGCCACTCGAGAGGTGGATGCCCCATTTGCATCTTGAGAGCTCGATACCATCAGCTCAGCGGGTGTGTGCTAACAAAGGCCGAGTACGAACTGTTAGCCAAAGAGAAAAGAAAAGAAAGTCCGGCATTTGAGTGTGGATATCCGGTACCAAGATCAGGCGTCTCGGCCGCGCATAGTAGCGCGCCATCGATAATATCAACGAAGACATTTCATTGGTGAAAATTTGACTGATAGTGGTGGGCGCTTCGAGAGCAACCTAAGGTTGCCACTCGGCCAGATATTATATCCGGGGGGGCCTAAGTCCGGCGTAACTATTATACAGGAAACACGCACTGAATCGCAATGTCCAAATCGGGTGAAGCCCAAGAGATGCTAAATGAACATCGAATTCACTACTGCCAGCAAAGTGATCCCTCCATTTCCACCATCGCATTACCGCAAGTGAATGCTCCAAATCCCGCTTTTCCTCCAACATCATGAACGCCTAGGCAGCAAAACTCTCTCTCATCAGGTCAAACTGTACCCATTTATCCTCATGTCCCAAAATTTCGCTACTAAAGGACCCAAGCTTGTTGTATCCAGATCCAAGGCAATCAGAATGGGAACGTCAATCTCCTTTGCATCAGTATCATCATAATCAGGACGGGTCCGGCATTGCAGTGTACTTGTATGCATGAGCCACATACGCCCCACGCCAGCGAAGTGGCCAAATGCCAAGCAGGAAGGAAAGACACAGGTTAAGTGGCTGACCGCTGCCAAACAAGTTCTCATCGTGCTGAACTACGATCGTGGTCTCGTAGTCGCGCTCTGGAGTAATGCCGTAATGCGATGAGGTGTGGATGCGGGCAGATCGGACTCCAATCAGATACTGTGATATATCGGCTGCGTCTACATTGTGCGAGCCGCGCGTGCCCGTCATGCGCAGCCAGATGAAGCGTGGATAGAATGAGTCGATGGGGAAGTAGATGGCGCGGAAATGATTGGGACTGGGGCGCTCTTTGAAATTTTCAAAACTGCCGCAGAGTATGTCGTGCTGCATGATGTCGCGTTCTTGACAGATGGTCGAGTAGTGCTTCATATTGTCGCATATCACGCAAGTGATTGTAGCTTCATTGGGACAAATTCCGCAGAGAGGAGGATCTGTCGCAGTGGCGGAAGCTGGATCGGGCACTGTAGGCATGCTGTTGAATCAAGGCAAATCGTATGACGCATAGAGAATCTGTGCGTGGGTAGTAGAAACAATATAACCACGATAGTTATATGCTTGTTATACTCATCTCTACTGTACGGTTGCACGGTGCCTAGTGTTCACTTTACCAGAGTGTTTTACCAATCAATATCTTCAGACACATGACGAGCAAGCAAGCGGCGATAGAATGCTCCGAAACAGATACCCAGACCAGGTGAAGCGGAAGTAAGTCGCTAGAATAATTCTCTCATTTCAACATCATTGGTACGCACATCGCTACAACCTCTCTTTCCCCTGTCGACTAGTCTCCTGGCTTCAGCTCTTATCCTCAGGGCTAAAATTGATACTTATACTGTTAACACAATGTCTTTCATCCTTGGGATTGCCAAATCGCTCTCCCTTGAAAATATGTCCCAGGTGACCTCCACAGTTGTTACAGACAATCTCAGTCCGCATCATGCCTAGACCAGGATCCGGCTTCTGTCCCACCGCGCCGGGTATGGCGTCCCAGAAAGCGGGCCATCCGCAACCAGAGTCGAATTTGTGGTTTGCTTTGTAGAGAGGCGCATCGCATCCGCCGCAGGTATAGACGCCAGCGTCCGGGTAGTGCTTGTCGTATTTTCCCGAGCCGGGTGGCTCGGTGCCTTTCTTGCGGAGGATACGGAATTGCTCTGGGAAATGTCAGCATCATTGTCGCTGTAGTGGAAAGAGTCGGAGGCCATACCAGGCGATAACTGTGCCTGCCATTCGCCCTCGGGTTTCTGCACTGGATAGTTCGTGTTGTCGGACATGCTGCTAGAGGATCCGAAAAGAGCGCCCAAGAAGGGGATATTTGGCATCGAACGGTAGAGGACTACGCGTTGGGGAGTGTTGTAGATGGTGCGACCGATGCCAGTTGCGGGGCTAGATCGAAGGAATGCGGTTGTTGTATTTGTTACCGTATGAATCGTGCGGAGAAATGTTGGAAAGGAAGGGAAGCGCATGTGGAGGGAGGATATGTGAGTTGTCGTGTTGGTGATTTGGGGCTGTGTTTTGTCCAACCGCGAGTTGATTACTGAGGGGTGGCGGAGAGCTTCGGCGCCACTGGGGAGCTTCGAGAGTCGCCAATTGCGTCATGAGTTTCGCGCGCCATCAACACCATCACATCACCATCTTGACAACCATTTGTCGCTCGGCTGGAAAGCATCATGAATCTATGCTTTTGAAGGACTGCGCTATCTCCAACTCGTTTGCGCGTATGCTGTTCTTGGGAGATTCTCCCAGCTCTTCGCTTCTCTTCCCCTTATGTTCATAATGGTGAAACGGGGTATTCTGTATCGAGCGGGGCTTCGGCACAATTCAACGATGCCGGTAATGTGTTGAAGCTATGAAGGAAATTGACAAATACGTTTCTGAGATAAGAGAGAAGTTCAATGTAAATGAAGAAAAGTGCTCGAGTATTAGTGTCAGAACCTTGTTGGACAACCCCAACTCTATCACGTATCTTACCAGCACTCAAGCTCCTCCACTCTACAATAAAAGTTGATACAAACTTAGCATTCCTTCCAACTCGTCGCATTCCCTAATAACTGCCCACCACATTCTCAATCTCGATACTGGGCTGAATATATGGCTTAATCGACTTCCGAACCATAGTCCTTTGCTCAAACGCATAGGCAAAACCAATCAAACTCTCCTCACTCCACAGCTTCCCAGCGAAGGAGATTCCGAATGGGGCATTCGGAGCCGTGGCATTCAAGTCGCCGCGTGAGTTTGTAATCACCGTGGTGTTGGCAGGGTATGCACCCAGTGGGACGGTAACAACAGGACCACCAATAATGGCAGAGATACCAGATGCGACACGCGAGGGAAGCACGACAGCATCAAGGTTATAGGTCGCTAGTGCACCGAGGAGACCGCCTTCGCCGCCGAGGTAGAGGTCTTCTTGGTACGCCGCCCAGAACTGTGCATCTGTGTTGCTAAAGTTTTGGGACTGCGCAATCGAGCTGTCAAATTGGGCGGTATCCCTATTTGGGTAGGCTTCTGCAGGGAAACTTTGAGTGAATTTCCTCACATCTTCTAGGGTCGTGACGTTGTTGGGGTTGTATGTGAGTTGGGAAAGGTAGCTGGCAAGATTGGGCGAGAAATCGCCGTCGAGTACGATACCTTCGGCGTTGGATTGGAGGTACTGGTCCCATGCGGTGTAGTTTGTTCCCTCTACGATAATGGCGCCAGCAGAACGCAGAACATCAAGAGCGGCTTCAAAAGCGGCATATACTGGTGCAGTAGAGGTACCAGGTGTGCCGATGGCATTTCGTGGAACACCGATACGCTTTCCTTCCAAGGCATTCAGCCTGCAGGCAGAGACATAATCGGGAATCGTGGAGTTAGTTGTATTCTTCGCCCAAGGAATTGCAGAAGTGTAATTGTCGTACTGATCGGGACCAACGATCGCCTGTAGAATATAGGCTGCATCCTTAACCGTGCGAGCCATAGGCCCAACCGTGTCCTGATGCTCTGAAATTGGAATCACAAGTGATCTGCTGGTCAGGCCAACACTGGGCTTTATGCCAACAATGTTGTTCACTTGACTCGGCGAAAGAATTGATCCATCTGTTTCAGTGCCCAATGTTCCAAATGCCAGCCCTATGCTGGCGGCGACACCGCTCCCGCTGCTGCTACCGCTAGGGTCTTGTCCCGGGAAATATGCGCCGTATGTCTGACCGCCTTGAGCAGACCAACCATTCGAAGAATTAGATGATCGGTAGTTGGCCCATTGAGAAAGATTGGTTTTGCCGAGGATGATAGCACCTGCTTTGCGGAGCTTTGCAGCAACGGTAGCATCACGTGGGACTTTAGCTCCGATAAGAGACCAAGAGCCAGCCGTATTGTTCATCTCATCGGCAGTAGCAATGTTGTTCTTGATGAGCACTGGGAGGCCATGGAGGGGTCTGTCTGTGATTAGCAACCAAGAGTCCTGTAGGTCGGATTGGAGATGACAAACCCTCTGGATTTGCCTGAAGCGCGCTCTTCATCCAACTGTTTCGCGATAGACCATGCATCTGGGTTGATTTCAACCACCATATGAAGTGTCTTGTTGACTTCAATGATCCGTCCCACGTAAGCCTTGCTTCATGTCAGCACCAAGTCCAGCAATGAGACAAAGCAAGTCAATTTACGAGAACTCACCTGTACAAGATCCAAACTTGTAAACGCTCCAGCATCAAGACCAGTAATCAACTCATCTGCCGTAGCGTCCAGAAGGGAGGGGAAGCCGGATGTACCGTTATACAGCGCATACACACTCGGGAGTGGCGCAAAGGTCAGAAAGACCTTGGCCAAGAACCAAGCTGAGACCATGATGCTAGTTGCAACGACTAGGGTCTTGGAGGAGAGTTGTACTAGAGGAGATTGACTAGAGGGTGAACCTCCATGATAAGGGGCAGTCTCATGTCTGTTATTATAACCATGTGTATTATGATGACCCGAGGTCGGCTCTTGCGCGGTTCCCATGTCGGACAAGGATCAGCCTGCAAGCGCGTTTCCGGCAGGGGAGGTTCAATACTGGATGTAAGTAGCTACGTAGTTTCCATGATAAGCACGTGGGAATATCACAACTTGGATTCGCCACAAGGCATCGTGGGGTTAACAGTAACGGTCTACATGCGCGTATTCCCAAATGGGTTGACAGTCGGTCACACTCTGCTCCTTTGAGCCCGCGTCGTACACTCGTATCACCTGAGCAGAGAATTTTCTCCTCATACTCTGTTTGTGATGTTGCTACGCGAGGCTAACGAGCAGCGTAGTTGGATATGCGCCGTGGACGTTATACAAATGCATGTGCGATTGCGGAAGGTGTTGGCGGCGATCGTTGTCTAACTAGGAAGGTGCTAAGGAGGGCAAACTGAGGAATCAAAAGCTTGAATGCCGCGGAAAGAGGAAGAGGCTACCGGTCGCGGGTAGTTATCGATACACTCTACCTAGTGAGCGGTTTTGGTCTGTATGTATGATGCAAGCACGGGATCTTGGGTGCGTTGTAGATGCTGCCGACCTTCCGCATGGGGGCGTTTGCATGTCGCTCACACCCATGTCTTCAGATTCGCCGCTCGGTTGAGGACGTTGCCGCTGCTACGCGTGTGGACTGCATCACTCTAGACTTCAGAGCCGGCCAGATATCTATGTATGTATGTGAGTCGGTTGCATGCTGATGAGTGCTTTAGTCTAGTCGAAGTAGCCTGGGAACAACCATTGCAGCTTCTTCTCCGCTTCCTGTCCTCGTCCTTCCTTCTTGGTCATGGCGCCCGCAAACCTCATCTGTCCATCCAGGTGCTTTGCGAGAACTTGGTCGACGTGCTCTTCCTTGCTTAGCTCGTTTAGCACGGCGCCCACAAAGCGTCTTGCATTCTCTGCATTCGCCTTCATGTGGGCCATGACCATCTCGACATTGACATCCTCCTCGCCATCTCCCCGCCAGCAATCATAGTCAGTGGCCATGCAGATCATTTGGTAGCCAATCTCGGCCTCGCGCGCAAGCTTAGCTTCAGGAAGAGCAGACATGTTGATGACGCTGCCACCCCAAGACCTGTAGAGGTTGGACTCTGCCCGAGTGCTGAACTGTGGCCCCTCCATGCAGATGAGGGTGCCGTTGTCGTGCAGCGTCACACCCTCACCCTCGAGCGCATGTCCGCACTGTCTGACAATGGCGGCTAGGCGTTTGTCGAAAGGATCGCCAAAGCCTACGTGGCCTACCATGCCACCCTCGAAGAAGGTGAATGGGCGGATGCCTTTTGTGCGGTCAATGATCTGGTCTGGCACCAGAAAGTCACGCGGTCGCACGTGTTCCTGCAGCGAGCCGACAGCAGAAAAAGCAATAATGGTGCGGACGCCGATGTGTCGCAGTGCAGCAATGTTGGCCTGGTTCTTGACCTCATGAGGGGCTAGCTCATGGTATAGGCCGTGCCGTGAGAGAAAGGCTACAGGAATGGGCTTGCCAGTCGTGGGCGAGGGATGCTGCAGGATAGAGATTGGCGAAGATGGCTTTCCCCATGGCGTATCAATGTCCAGGGTTGCAGCAAGAGTGAAGCCCGGTAGCGATGAAATGCCAGTACCGCCTATGACGGCGATGTGGACGGGTGCTGCAGGACAAGTCAGTATAAGGCCGGCCAACTGGGAGATGGCGAATGCGCACCGTCATACGTGGTGGGAACGCCAGCCATTTTGCGATAGGGAATCGAGATGTTTCTCGTCCTGATCCTGGTTATGGTATGGAATTTGAAGGCACTTGGAGTAAAACTGACGCGTGAAAGCATTCAATGAGGGGCAGCCAACACGGGCGCGATAACAATTTCTGCCATGGTGGGGTAGCTCTTGCCATCGATCCCTGTCAGCACGAACGGTGGACGTCAATCACATGACCAGCGCCCCGCAGTGATCATCACCTTCTGGTACAGATCTCTACAAGCCACAGTCTCCTACTGCGCCTCCTTTGTTTGCTCATCTACCGTCAAAGAAAAGATACTTCCGGTCGCTTGCAACATGAAACTTTTGAAACTCTATGTACGCTGTTCTCATGTCGGTCCTTCCTCTAGCTTATAATCAATTTAAGTTTTCTTCCGCTGCTAATATCTATCCCTCCGTGATAGACATGGAATGGGCCGCTGTTGGACATAATACAGGTCGGCAGCTGTAGCTGAGTAAGCGGGGTCCTTTTCGAAGTAAAAAATGCTCGATTTATGTTTCTTGATATCCGAAAACCCTTCCTGGCAATTACTACTGCATAGATTTTACTACGAGCTCGTCTGGTTCTTTAATACTGAGCCATTTGGTGTAAACAAGTCTTCCCCAGTGACGTCAGATTGTTTTGTGAGCATTCATCGAAGATGTAAGCAAAGTAAGCAAAGAAAAGACATCGTACCGAAGAGATGAGGAGGAAACTCCTCCCTGCATTTGGGAGTGAAACGGCAGTAAATTTAGACTATTATATCCTAAGCTAGCTCTCGAATATACTCAATACACATATCTACGACCCGCGAGTGTTCCGTCATATGTGCCAACCCGCAGTAATCACAACACATCTCGTGACGGCTCTTTACGCATACAAATCTCAAAGTCTTGCCGGCTCAGTCACCTAGGATTGGAATCTGGCTTTATTGGTATTCCACGGACGTCCTAGTCACTCACTGACAACTTTTCTATAAGAAATTACAGGCTGTACAGACATATGACAGTTTCGACCAGTCTCCCGTTTTTTGTGATTTTGTTCCCGACACAAAAGGTTCTCTCGGTCTGCAGCTCGATGTATCATGCCACCAAGGTAATCCTAGAGGAAAGTTTCGTACCCCTCTGCTGATATTCTAAGTGACGACTCTAGTTAGAAATTTATCCGGAAGTTTCGAATACTCGACTTCTCATACTTAAATATTTGAATTTCGCACACTGCAGATCATTTCTGTCCATGCAAAGCTTTCTCGCTTTGAGTCGACAATCTAATTTTTGTTAGCGATCCTCCGTCTCACCCCATACTTTCGAGTCAAATACAACTATGAGATCATTATTCGTGCTCGCTGCCTTCCTTGGAATGGCCATGACCATGGCAGTGCCAGAAGAAATAATAAAGGATCCATCGCCACAGCCAATAGCCACAGGACTGCCGCCAGGGACTTGTCCATTTCGTGGCCATGGCACACGATATTGTCATAAAGACTGTGGACGTTAGTATAACTCATGTTACTTAACTATGTTTTCTAACTTGTACAGAGCCTTGCAACTCTCCTTACGAATGCGAGAGCCTCATCTGTGAGCCTGATGACAATGGTGTTGAGACTTGCTGCCCGCTAGCGGTACGTCGCATTTTAATAGATGCCTAAGTATTAATTGCTAAAACCCACACAGAAGAAGCCAAAATCCTCGTAGAGAAGTCTTCAAGAAAGAGAAGTGTAGGGTTTGTAGTTCAGTACTATACGAAGGGGTATCTTGTTGGTAAATGCCGTACAGTTGGTACACAGCCTAAACCCAATTTCACAACCAATCAGACATTCAGATACTATCCTTGACTTTATGAAATATACTCTGATCTAATCATGCGCTTTTTTAACTTATCCGAACGTGCACTAAAAATGAGCTTTTTCGGAACCAGAGCCCTGATGCAGTGCACACCAAGACCAGCAGTAGGGTAAGTCTCGCGTTGGATTTCAATATCCCATTTTGCTACCATTTTGCTCCTATAAATGAATTTGCGCAATAATCACACAGTCCAAATGAGCTTGGTATTTGAGCAAGTGAGTTCTGCGGAAGACGACAGGCCAGCCTCTTCATCCCACGCACCTCCCATCTCACTCTGATTTAGCCGTGAATGGCCACCCACTCGTGTCGCATGGCCTCTCCCAACTCCCAAACTCTCACGTCATCCACCACAAACTTGACCTTGTACTTTCTCATCTTCTCCCTCTGCGCCACGTCGAAAAGCGTCTCCATTGCCCCCCTACAATGCTCGTCCCTCTCCTCTCCTGTCTTGGCCTCTGTCACAAATCGAATCACCACCCGAGCTCCCGCCTTGAGCTCGAAAAGCCCTTCGACCGCCTCCCGCATGCGCTCTGGACTTTTTGGTACCCCGAACATGTATGCACGGAAAGATCCTCGGTCATGTGACACGGCGTTGAGGCCTATCTCCACCTTTGCAACCAAATCTTTTGGGGGTAGCCCGAGGCGCATCTCATCCGTCGTGAGGAACCTCTTCATGACGCCCGGATCGTCGCTAAAGACAAAAGTAGATGTGCGGTAGTAGTTCTCTACCAGCTCATTATATAATGGCTTCGACACGTACTCTGGATCCCAGTAGTGCTCTGGGAAATGTTGCTTCTTCCATCGCTCGAAATTATACGAGTACAGTCGCGTCAAAGGGTCTAGTGTGGTTCGGAAATGCTCGCGCTCTATGATTTCGACGTCTCGCGTGCTGAGATGAAGGTAAACCATGTCGCGCACCTCACGTGGCAATCTGCTCATAATCTGGTTGCTGAGCTCTAGACATTCCCGTCTTGCCAGTTGCTCGAGCATGTTTTGTGTGCTGGGTGTGATGTTGGCAAGATCTGACTCCAGCACAGCAAGCTCTTTTTTCAAAGCCGCTACACGTGCTTTGCGAGTGTTTTCCTCGGACAAAGCTCTGAACCGCCATGTTAGCAGTGATAACTGCAGGGTTAAAGGTATATGCACCTGAACGTGTGCTTCCGCAGTTGCCCATATGTACCGCGACTATCACAATGAATACTTTCAGATGTCTCGAATACTGACATATTCATGTTCTTTTTACCAGTTGAGATCCCGGAAACCGACAAATTGTGTTTTTTGCTTTTAGGCACTCCATGATGCTGTTTATCAAGGTGCTGCTGATTGCTTACTCGGGTGCTCACTCGACACTAGTATCTCGACTGATGGTCGGAAAATTACCCTGTTGGGTTACCCCACAACTCAGCATCGCCAATACACCGACATGCTGATCTTGCATCAACTCTGCTCGTCCTCGCTGATTGGCTCCCCATCAGACAGAGAATATTTTCTCTCTGGGTACTTGGAACAAGGGGCTCTGAGAAAAAAAAAGAATTCAACTCGTCTTCTTAGCCGCGATTGGGGCCACTTTTAGCCAAGCAACCCCAATTCCTTTGCCGACCAATGGGTGCAGAAGCCAAGGAGATACTCACTGTGCGTACGAAGGAGATTGGATCAATGCCAGACATCACCACCTCCTCGTACCGTGAACCCTGTGGGTGGTGGACATGTAGGCATTGAAAAACTCGGTTAATCAATTTATGATGAACAGATACATTTAACATTTATGAGCTCATAAAAGGGGTGCGCAGGTACCACGGTGATGTGGAGATGAATGTCATTTTCGCGGGGCTGCCTGTCAGGCAACCACCCCAAAAAACGCCACAAGTCTTGTCCTGGCACATGTATAACAATAGCTTTGCAACTGTCTCTAAGTGTGTACTCCTGCCTTCTCATTGGCAAAAATTCACTAAAACGGAATTCTAAGAAGGCAAACTTATCGATCACTAGGTGTTACCATGGATTCGGACTCGGAATCAGAATTGATGGAGAACTCTCCGGACTTTGCCCAAGCCCTGCAGCAGTGCGTACCTTCCGTTCGATATATTGATGCGTCAACCTCTCTAACATGCGCAGCCTTTTAATGCAACAAATTCAAGAGTACCAAGAAATGCAATCTAGAAAACCAAAGGAACCCACTCCAGTGGTAGAAAAAAAGACCACGACACTTCGTCCTTTGTCACCACGCGAATGTCATTCCCTCTGCACCAGCGTGCACCAGGCCTTGCCTCGCGAGATTAGAGACATGATATACGAATACACACATGCTCAGGAAACTATCTACGTTGGACCTGAGTACTTTGAAAAAACCACAGTGCCATGCGAATCAGACGCAAAAGCGCATTACTGGAGTGCACAGTACGTGGGAGCCGAGATGCAGAGAGAAATAGTTGAAAGCTGGTACCGCACGACACTATTTTATTTCTATGACAAAAGAAACAACAACACAGTCATCGAGAAGTTTCTTGACACCGATCGATGGGGCCACAACATCAAGCCGCGGGATCTCATCTGTCACGCTCGTGTCGAATTGAGCGTGGAGGAACGATTGCATAACAATTACAAGCAAAGGCCCTGCTGCTATGTCAGAGACGCAGGAGAGAAGCTCACGAGGGTGTTCAAACTTTTCCATCAGTTGCCAAATCATGTCGAGTTTTTCATGCGCGTCCACACATACGACGCACCCCATACTGGGTGCATGAGTGCGTCGGAGTTGCAGGGCGCTATTCATGCTCTAGTCGAGGAACTGGGGACTTTGAATTCTATGGGACATCGAGTTGTTCTTCAGTGGCCAGACTTGAACAATGTCGAGCTTTCGTGGAAGGATGGTGCATTCAAGGCGAGTGAGTGGACGAAGCAGCTGATGCAGGCGGCACCTATGAAGCTAAGTCTTGAGGATGGGATACCGGATTCGAGTGCTGGAGATGTGTCACAGACTACTGAATGATTCAGAAGTCGTAAGATATGGCCAGTTGGCAGGGAAACGGGTAGGTTCTAGTAGCAGTGAAAGCCAGCATGATACCAATGGACGTATTCCCTGGATTTAGCGAGTGTCTGTTTGATATTGCCTGTTTGATCCTAGCGTCAGTCCATATTTCATAAGCAGTGTGAAGTGAAGTCTCACAACACTTACAGCGTGAGTTGAACAATCACGTCTCCCCACTGCCGCACTGGGACAGTATCTTTGCATTGGATTTGAGATTTGAAGTCTTTTGATTCAACCCAGGATCAAGTGTCCGTTTGACAATATCCCCTCCCATTGTTCTACAGCGACTAACTCCACACGCCTCAGTGACTCAGGACAAACAACAAACTCGGCACACAAGGTGTAGCTATATTCACCAGGAGTAAGCATCTGCTACTCATCACACGACTGCAGCCTTGTCAGCTTGTACCCGCTGCAAAACCATCTCTTGAGCAAGTCTATCAAGAAATCAAAGTCTCCGCAACACGGTATCCATCAAAACATAGTTACAAGAAACTGACTTCTGGCAGCGTCATGGATATCGATCTGGAAGAAGATTATGTCTCCTGGCCTACTGTTTACAAGTCAAAGAATGAGCCTGTCGCCCAGCAAAATGTCACCTATCGTGACGTAGGAGTTCAAAGCCTCCCTGACAGCAACGCTGACGCATTCCAAACAATCTATAATCGCGAGCCCAAGCAAGATGAGCTAGTCAGCAAAGTCCTCACTGAAGCCATTGACCGCTACACATCTGGCGTCGGATCCGGCCCCTACGAAATTATTGTTGGCGAGCCATTTCCCGCTCCGATGTCTGTAGAAACTGGAGAAACGTATGAGGACGCTTCATTCCAGGCCCTCAGAGATACTGATTGCAAGATCTCCATTGTGCGAGCAAAGGCGAAAGCGTCGATCTTAGTCGCCCAACAGCGCCCTGTCGCCCAAGCGGTGGGTTACAAGATCTGGTGCGAGAAGAGAGACGACTTGATCATACATACGGCGCAGTGTCCTATTCGCATTCGGATCAATGAAGACGGATACGTTACTGATACTGATGCCCATGCGGTCATGCTTCCAAATATCTGTGGTGAAGAGATCGATTCGACTGCTGCATCGTTGGAGATTGAAAGTGCACAGGTGTGGAGCAGGACACTGCCTTATAGCCGCTTCCACGCAGAGGCTTCTACTGTAACACCCTTTTCCAAACCCACTGAGCAATACACTGATTCCAACAGTATCTGAACCGTATCCCATTCTTGGCGCCTGGCAGCCCCATGGAGATCTGCCAACCATGGGTACCCGAGCAGTTCGTGGCGACGGCTGACACCAACGAATCCAAAATGTCACCAGTCAGCAAACGCGACCGCTGGGATAAATTTCCAACACCTACGCTTCCTCCGCCAAAGCCCCGCGTAGCTCCAGAGCGCATCGCTGCTGCCCGCCGTCTAGCCAGCAGACAGCACATGCATCAAGATCTAACCGGAGCCCAGCACACCACCGACGCCATGGACATTGATCCCACTTACGGAGCATCAGACTACACTTACAACCGTTCTAGGCCCACCTCACCTCCTCCTCAGAACCTCTCGCCGGGTCGAACCTCCGCACCTCACTCACCCGCCCCTAGACAAACTAGAGACAATCTAACTAAAGCACCAGCTAATCCTGATACCAGCTTCGCAGACTACGTCACCAGCATCCGCCGCAACAAACTCGACCAACTCGACCAGCCCGCCTACGAAGTCAGCGCGCCGCTCAACTACGATGAGGAGGGTTCGGCGGCGTGGTGGGAGGCACAGGATGTAGATGTGTATGCTACGTCCCGTGCGGTGGAAGATGCGCGGCGTGAGGCGGTTGCTGAGGAACGCGACGCGTTTTACGGTGTTAATTGCGAGGAAGGCGGGATGGAGGAATAGGGCTGTGCCTGGTTCTCCCCCCCTTACGGATTAAGGAGAAGATGGAGAAGGGGAGCTGTACGACATTAGGACGAGATCCGGGTGTCGGAACTAAGGTATCAGGGCTGGACATGGGAAGGAGGAGTGGGAGTTACTTGGGGAGATTGTGTAGGATACATCAAGTGGAGACGATTGGAGGAAATAATGGCAGGTAGATAACAAACGGTGTACCATTTGAAGGCGTAGCAGCTACGGATACGCTTGGTGGGAAATCATGGGTTCGTGAGAACAACATCAGTCTAATATGCGAATCAAAACACTCCACTCCCCCCCATATCATCATGGAAGAAAGAAAAAACAGACGCTGTGAACTTTCCGAGTAAAAACAAACAAACTGGACACCCACGGGTATCATCATATATCTAAGCATATCATCCTCGTGAAAAAAAAACGGCATAAAGATCCGGAATCACAAATTCCCGATAACGACCATAAACCGCAACTTCCCATCCGTCTTTTTGATCACAGGTGGGGGATTCATGCCCCCACCCAGCGCATCCTCTGTCTCTCCACTGAGCGTAATCTCATCCAGCATAAGCGTACTACTCTTCCAGCCCCAACTCTGACTAAAATTGAACCGATCAGGTGCACTCTCGTATATGCTCAACATCCTACCCCCCTTCGATGGGCTATAAATCTTAAAGTATGTTTTGATAGTGGGGCGGGCGTCGACGTAAGGAGGGAGAGCGGGGATCAAGGAGCGGGTTTTACGCTGAGAGCGGGATAAGAGAGAGGGGTTTGTGTAGGCTGCGGTGTCGGAGTCTTGGTCGGAGTCTGAGGTGTCAGATTCGTGTTCGGAGGGGGAGTAAGGGGCGTGGGCGCAGGAAGGGGAGGAGGGAGAGTCGCTGGATTGGGGGAGGGAGGTGTTCATGTTGTGGAAGCCCCATTGTGGGAGGCCGCGCGAGGGAATGCGCGACATGTTGCTGCGTCGCGAGCTGAGGGTGTTACCGGAGAAGATGGAGCCATGGAGACCCGGAGAGCCTAGTGTTGGGTCGGGGTCGCCGCCGCTGCCAGATGTGTCGTCTTCGGCAGTCGAATCTACGAAGGGCACACGGGTACTGCGTCTCCGATCGCGTGGATCACTACGCATAAGCATTTCTCTTTCCAAGCGTCCGATGCGCTCGTCAACTGTGCCATCGTTTTGCTGGCTGAGAACACTGGCTTGGACAGTCTCATCTACCTCACGCTCCTTTGCGCGATGGAGGTACACACCAAGTTGAACGTTCTTGGCAGACCGGACCTTTTGGATGTAAATGTTCCAGAGAGATCCGGCATACGATACTGTGCGCGAGTATACACGCTTCTTTTCTTTGAGGAAACGAGGGTTTGGAAACTCTGCAGAGAAGCGGAAAGGAGGGAACTCAGTGTAAGCAATCGGCCTTGGCTGCCCAGCGTTTCCACCACCAGCGGATATCGGGCGTCGTGGAAAGTCCATACGCGTATTTGGATTAGTCAGCGTTGCAGGAGTAGATGCGAAGTCCGTTGCCCATTGAGCATCCTCGGGCTGGAGGGTAGCCGACAGGCGCGAGGCATGGCGCTGGAATGAGCTCGAAGTCGTAACAACAGGTTCAGCTCCATTGCCGAGTACAATGTTGCAATCTGAGCTTGGAATCCAAAACTTGCGTGGCTTTCCATTTCCGTCCCAGCTATCCGACTCGAGTAGGCCACTGTCGGCAGCGTTCTCTACCTGTTGGCCCTTTGAGGTCAACTCGCTCCCGCTCTTGGTAGCCACGTTGAATGCTTCGGGGCCAGGGAGCGACTGCGATAGGCCTAGTTCCTGCGCGTTTTCATCCGTGTTGAGCACCCTTTGACGAAGAGCGAGTTGTTGCCAGAGCGAGCTGGAAATCACACTGTCAGGCATGACAGGGAGACCAAAGACATCGCGGGAACTCTTGATGAACTCAAGCTGCTCAAACTCCATGTGAATGTAATGGATGCCTTCATCCAGGAGCACAAGTATACGTTCAATGTCGGGTAATGTGTACAATGCGAGCCATTCAGCGTGAGCATCGGACGATGAGTGCGCGGCAGTGAGGGCGTTTTGCCGATAGACGCCGTCGAAACGAACAGCCATGAAGCGTAGGGAGTTCGGCGCCTGCGGTACAGGCTTCTGGCCTCGTTGAATCAATCCAGCATCGATAGCTGCCAGTCGCAGTCGGCGATCAAGAAGACGCTTTGCAAGCACCCACCGATCCCACTCGCTATCTACAAAGAAGCCATCGGAGCCCACCAGCTCGCGAATGATGTCTCCCGGCATATCGTCCCAGTACTTGAGCGGCATCTCCCAACCATTCCTACTTAGCATAGCCTTGGCTGACTCGAGAATCCGATCGCCGGAGCGGCCGTAGTAGTTGGAGGTGACGAGCCGGATGAGGTAGGCAAGTGTCTCTGGGGCCATCTGACGCAGGATGGATTCGATCGCCGAGTCTATGAGGTCCTGCATTTCCAGCCAACATCCTGTCGCGAATAGACCCACAGCTTCGGCATCCATGTCTTTCGAGATGTCGACGCCGTAAAGCTTCCGTATGGCAAGCTCAAATGCGGCTTGGGTGATGCTGGAGTCGATCTCCTCGGGGTGCAGAGTGACTTCTTTGGACTGGCTTTCGAGCCATGGCTCAGAAAGGGCAGTGGTGAAGAATGGTGCACGATCGAGGATCAAGCGATGCAGAGAGTAGCGTTGGCCAAAGGCTATGACGGTAATATCTGAATGGCGGCCTTCAAGCAGTCCACGAGAATAGAGGTGGTCTGGGAGGGGAATTGCTTCGCCCGAGGCTGCCAAGATTAGCTCCACACTGCAGCAGATATAGACGGGTATTACCTCGCAGATACAGGGGACCCGTTGCGTTGTTGTAGGATGGAGCACGTGAGGCTGAGGCTGCAGCGCTTTCGCTGAACAGGGTACTTATTTCTGTACGAAAAGCATGCTCTGTACGCATAAGATCCAGGGTGGTGCGTCTTTTGCCCGAGTCTTCAAGGGGCGTATTTGGATCATCGGCGCTCTTTTGTGCCTGCTCAATCTCCGTCTGTAGTTGGACTATAGGCGGGCGTTCTTCCGGGGCCAGTGGCCTTGACGGCCGCTTCGGCATGCTGGGATGGTTTGCGAGAGAGGGCATGGAGCTGGAGTGACTGAGGACCCTCCTGTGGATTGCACGGGGCCTCGAACCTTCACCGACTGAAGCAGATGGTTCAGGAGGAGGGACTGAAGTTATATGGGGCGAAAAGAGGCTGGCGGGTGGAGTGCTACGTAAGCCTGAGCCATTGTCTGTACCCTCAGTGTCGCCGGACGTGCGCACCGAGCCATCAAGGAGGGTTTGGGCGTCATGATTGTGGATGCTGCTCCCTTGGCCGGCAGGCGGCTGGTGGGCGTTATCCATTCTAAGTCTGCTACAGGTTATATATGGAGCACATTGGTTGGCGAGGCTTTGGCGGCCAGACACGCGGTGAAGAACGGGCGGGGTAGTAGTAGCAGCAACACGCGGCGTCTGACACAGCAGCAGTGTCCAGGACGCTCGAGGAAGAAGAAAAAGAAAAGAAGAGTCACGACTGATTTACAGCGAGGGCGGCGGGGAGGAGAGGACAAGTCACGGGGCCACAACACAGACAGACTAGGCACATCACGCATCCGCTGGCGAGTGCTGGCAAACGGCGATCTTCGCTGGCTAGGGTCCGGTGATGCAGTTGCGACGGTGCCGAGTGGGGCGCGCCTTCCGTCTGTCAACGCCGCATGCAGGGGTCCAATGCTTGGCACCGCTTCCGGACCCTTGTACCGCCGAAAATCCGTAGTCGATGACATGACGACCTTCTCTTCTTCTTCTCTCTTGTGAGTTGCCCATTGTCTGTCGCCCGCAATGGCTTCCATCTTCCAGGCTCTCCCGCAGCTGCGCACCGCTGCTCCCCGTCTCTCCCGCCGACTGTTTTCCTGCAGACAGTGCCTCAATTCGCCCATTCGCTCCGCCGTCCCCGCATCCACTCGTTCCACCCGCCCGTCTGTCTTGCAATCGGTGAGATGGAAGTCAACCCAGCCACTTCGCAGCAGCGCCACTATTCAGGCATCGAATTCGAGTACCGTATCACTTGCTGAAGCTGCAGCTGCAGCAGAGGGAAAGTCGAGCAGCTTCCCCAAGACGACATCTAAGAGCGTCGCATACTGGCTGCTGGGCAGCGCCGCCAGCGTCTTCGGCATAGTCGTCTTTGGTGGATTGACTCGCCTTACAGAGTCAGGGTAGGCATGAACCTTGTTGCGCCAATTGCAACTGCTAACTTGCACAGGCTGAGCATCACCGAATGGCGCCCTGTCACCGGCTCACTGTGGCCCATGAGCGAGGAAGAATGGGCGAGCGAGTTCAATAAGTACAAGGCCTCGCCCGAATTTGCTCTGCTCAACTCTTCCATGGACCTTGCCGACTTTAAGCAAATCTACTTTATGGAATGGGCCCATCGTCTTTGGGGTCGTGTCATTGGTGTCACCATGGTCCTTCCGACTGCTTATTTCATTGCCCGCCGCAGAGTTACGCCCTCAATGGCGTCGAAACTTGTCGGCATCTGCGGCATGATTGGCTTCCAGGGTGCCATTGGATGGTGGATGGTCAAGAGCGGCCTCAAGGACGACCTTTTCGAGCCAGGCAGCCACCCCCGCGTCTCCCAGTACCGCTTGACTGCCCATCTTGGCACTGCCTTTGCTGTCTACTGCTCCATGATCCTCACTGGCCTTTCCATTCTGAAGGAACACCGCATGCTCGCAGATCCTGCAAAGGCTGCCGAGACCATTAAGGCGTTACAACATCCGGTCCTGCGCGTATTCAGGGGTTCCGTCGTTGGTCTTACCCTTCTTGTCTTTACAACTGCTATGTCGGGTGCCCTGGTTGCTGGTTTGGATGCGGGGCTGATCTACAATGAATTTCCCTGGATGGGCTTAAGTCTTGCCCCACCCAAGAAGGAGCTCTTTGATCCATTCTACAGTCACGTCCCAGACCACTCAGATCTCTGGTGGCGCAACATGCTGGAAAACCCTTCCCTGGTCCAGCTCGACCATCGCATCCTCGCAACCACTACCTTCACTGCTGTCATGAGTCTTTTTGCCTACACTCGTTTTTCAAAGGGAGTTCGCACCACGTTGCCCAAGGAGGCCCACAAGGGTGTTCAGGGCTTGGTCCATCTCGTCTCCCTGCAGGTTACTCTTGGTATCAGCACTTTGATCTACATGGTCCCCACCTGGTTGGCGTCTGCTCACCAAGCTGGAGCGCTTGCATTGTTGACAGGAGCTGTCGTCCTTTTCAGCAGGATATCCATGCCACGACGCGCCGTCCTTCGCCAGATCATGAAACCCCAGGCCTCTAGGACGACTGCTACACCTCACATTACTTCCCGTTTGGAAGCGGCCAAGGTTGCCGATAAGTCATTATAGTTCATGACGCAATCCCACTTGTAGATCTCTCGTCTAGTAGCACTGTACAGATTCAGCATAGACCAGCTTGTACGATATGTAGGTTATCACCGTGTGCATCGCACCGTTACTCTCCTCAGGTTATTTTCTTTTTTCCATCTATGCGATTACGCCACCGTTTCACGAATGAATCTGTATCGAGTCGCTTATCATGCATACTCGTGCTTTGAAGTACCGTGCACATGCTGATATCAATGGTTTGACTTGCATCACGTGGGCTTATCACTCATTCCAATCAGCCTCTGTAGTACGTACGTAATTTTTTTCATTCTCAGTCCAACGCACGATTACATAATCTCCGACTACAGTACATACACAGCTCTTGGCCACATAGTACACCAATCCACCCTGTTCCTGCATCCACACGTGTCCGGGCCATGCAGACCCTAGCCGCCCTCGTGCACTCTTCTCCAATTTTAGTCTGATGCTTCGAAATCCTACAAGAAAAAGCAAAAGTCAAAGCACCCCCAGGTATCTTTAAACGCCTGTCAAACAACAAAAAGCAATGAAAGGAAGAAGCGATTAAAAGGAAGCCTCCTCGACCCAAAACGCCTTGAGACTATTAATTAGATAAAGTGAAATACACTTCAAGCGCCGCCTTTGCTCCTCATAAAGCCGATTCAGCGTCTCTGCTGAAAAGGACAAATTACTGGCAAACACACTGCACGAGGCGGGCGCCACAGCCGCTATCTTCGCGCCGAGAAGATCCATAGACGCGCGCACGTGATACAACTCGTCCAGCAACTGCTGCACTGCTTTAGGATCCCCCTGCAGGACAACCGGTGGCGACACACTGCCGCTACTGCGATTACTCCTTGCGGAATCCGGGCGAGTCGGGGACGAAAGCACTGACGGAGACGAAGAAGATGCAGATGAGGAGCGGGATTTGCGTCTGGAGTAATCCGTGGTGATTGGGGTACCGAGGGTACGGGACGCAGTGACGTATGCGTCTAGGACTTTTGACATTGTGAGGCAGACGACGGCGAGGAAGTAAGCGTCGTGGGACGAGTCGCCGTGCAGGATGGCGCTGATTGTTGCAGTGGCTTTGCTGCATTTGTCTATGAGGCTGCGGAGGCGGAGGGGCTGCTGGGGGCCGGCTCCAAAGAGGGGGATTGTAGTGCTACTGCTGCTACTACTTGTCGAGTCGCTCAGACAGCAGAGGTGCTGCATTAGCTGCAGAGCCATTGTAAGTCCCTCCTGCTGCTGCTGCGAGGCTGCGGCGTGGTGCATGGCGGTTTGGCAGTAGGGCATCTGCATCTCGGAGAGCAGCTGGGCGGTTTGCTCGCCCGTCTGGGTTTGGCCCGGCAGACAAGCTGCATCGAGGAGCATGCCTAGGTCGGGCTGCTGCGGTGACGGGTCCCGGGGCGAGTGCCCAGGCGCTGCTACGTCGTTGCCCTGCGTGTATGCTGCATATGCTGCTGTGCCGTGAGGAGGCATGCCGCTGGTGCCGCCGAGCAGCGGTTGGGCCAGCACGTCGGATGCCGCCGCGTCTGTAGTAGCACTTGCACTGCTTGCATCGTACACCTGGTCCAGTCCCGACATGTCGACGTCTGGAAGGAGAAGCGAGAAGTAGTCGTCGTGGACGGTACTCATCTCGGGTAGCATGCTACCGGCAGTATCGGCGTCGAGTGTCTCGAGCCCTGGCTCGATCATGTACATGTCTGCTGCTCCATTCTGCGGCTCTACACACCCCGACATGTGAATGTCTGGTGTGTCGTACATGCTCGACGACGACGTTGTTGTTGTCGTTGTGGATGTTGCCGTCGTCGTTGAGCGGCTCAAACTCTTGCGTCGAACACCAGCATCACTGCTCTGCTCTTTGGCATCGCTGTCTCGCCGTGCCAGGGCCTTCCTGCCTGTCCGCTGTGTGACGAGGTATTCACACTTTGTACCCCTCTTGGCGCATCGAGCGCACTGCGGCTTGTCCTTGGAGCACTTGGTCTTGGATGCCGCGCACGATTGGCAGCTATCGCGCAGCCGGATGCCGGTTGGCGGCGGCATGGGTGGTGGGGGAAAATGGGGAAATTTGGGTGGTGTGATAGAGTTTAGACTGTGGAGGGGTGGACTCTCCAACCCGACGAGCAGGTTTGGACCAAGAGTGCTGTGCAACCTACTCAGAGGGATGGGTGTCGTCGATCAGATTGCGTTTGGGTTTGAAGATCTTTGCTTGCGCAACGAAAAGAAGAAAACAAAAGGATATAAAGATGCCTGGAGTTTAAAGTATGCAACTCGGTTTCGGGTCTTTCGTAGCCTTTGTACCTGTAGATGCATGAACATGGGCGTTGGTTTTTCTGGGGGATGCTATTGCCAAGTTGGACTTACAGCGGAGGCGGCCCTTTCTCGCAGCGCGAATTGCTCCTATCTATCGTTTGCCAAGGTACCCTGTGGCCTTATCCCCCGAAGGCTGTAAGAGCTTAATTGTACCCTCGTTCTTTTACAGATGCGCCTGTTTTTTTTTACCTTTAACCCAGTTCGACTATTTTTCCAGTTTAGCAAAACGATTATCACATTGATGGGATGCAAGCCACACGTGTAGTCGTCGTGGACAACCAATCATTGCGGTTTATTTGGTGTCCGATGGAATCTTTTCGAAAAAAAACTTGTCTTTCTTTGAGCGGAATTATGTGTGAGTATCACGTCGCTAAGCGGTGGGTTCCGTGTAACAATGGGGCATTGTTTGCCCGTTACCTCCTCACTGGAAAGGATCATGCCGTGTAAGGACGGCTAGTGCCCGTCCCGGTAAACGGTTGCTTAGCCGCGGAGAGGCAAAGAGAAATTCCGCTGACGATGCGCATTCACATGCAGAAGGCTTGTCGCTTGCTTGATCGAAGTAATCTCGATCTCGACGCCAATGGCTTGATCGAGTGCGTATATTGCGCAGTACGGGTTGTAGATACCGATGCCGTACAGATCGCCAAGCGGTCACGACATATGGGTCGTGAAACACGGAGTGCAATGACGTTACAATGTCTCAATGTTGAATTTGTAGCATAGGATGCTGATTTTGTGATGCAATTCTACGTGCGTTGGGGGCCTGACAGTTCTGGTATCGTCATTCCAAGTCTGCTGGTCATACAAGATATCAATCATATCACTAGTAGGAACGATATGGTTATGTTCCTTGTAGTACTTTGGAAATGCAGTTGAAAGCTGCGGCTCATGCCCGGTCGAATACTCGGTACACAGAACGCTTGTAGGGATGAATAGCGGGCCGCTGAGGCTACGTAGGCGAACTCCTCCGATCGACGATTGCCAAGAAAAGCGCCTCTTAACGTGCCAGTGTTCGTCATGCAGTAAATGGAAAGGCATCAGTTAGCTGGTCTGACTGAGAACCATACAAGGCCTTTAGACATCTTGGCGGGTAAAAACTAGCGTCTACTAGCACAGCCTCCTGGAACTAAGTTCAGGGTGTTGCTGTTCTGCAACGGAACGTGCTGGAAGTCTAGGAAAGTATAGGTTCGCTCGGAACTATTGTGGGCTAGAAGCAGGAAAGTGAACGTTGGACAAATCGGGCCATGATGCTTCAATCGAGCTTATGGGGGGAGATCGAGACATTAAGTGCAGAGGCATGCAAGGCTTCCCTATGCCTTGCGTGAGAGCGGAGGTATATCTGCAGCCTTGTTAATGAACACACAATAGGTCCGAGTCAGATACAGGGTTTTTGTTGAGTTACTCTTAGATGAACTCAGTAGGGGGTTTCCAGGCCTAGACCATGGGGTGATGCTACAGTACTATGTGTTGATACATGGTTGGTGTTCTAGGCGGTCGCATTCGGTTCCCCAAAAAAATAAAGTCGGCTGTCCTGGCTAGGTAGGTCCAGTTGGATCGGCTTGCGGCGGCACTGTATTGAAACGGTGGTAATTTGCTGTTTACGGAGCATGGGGTTGAGGAACGTGGGGGAGAAAAGTGGCTGCGAAGATCAGAGAGGGGAAATCTGCAAGGCCCCCCTTCTCTTATTCTCCCAACCACTTTCACCTCGAACTACTAGATGATTCTGCCATGTTCCCCCGGAGAGGAGGCTCGTTGCACGGCACGGGCCCCTAGCGCACTCCGGGTCGGGCCATGTCACCGTGCCGGGGGATGGCAATGTGTTGTAGTGGGTAGGCATATTAAACGCATGTCGAATGTCGGTTGACGTAAGCGGCTAGTTTGGCATGGGGGGCCTTGTCCGCACACTGTCAGCCAGTTGCGTCGTCCAGGTAGTCGTAATTCAACGCACATCACGTCATTTAGGTGCTTTGTAACAGAGTCGGATGATGTGCGGAATTTCAGAATGCGTGTGTAAGGTAAAGTGGAGCTGGTGTCGTCCAGTTGCATTGCCATAGCGTGATTGCGAAATAGCGCCGACCGCATGTCAGCGACCTGCAGCATCACGTGTCGCTTATCTGGCCAATCACGAGCTGTCGTTCATTCACGCCTGGAGAAATGATTTCCTGTTGCAGCTTAGCTTTCAGGCACTAGACCCAGATAGTAGTTGCCCAGGGAGCTCTGCAACAACAAAGGACTTCCTGGACGTTTGCCATAACCTAAGCCTTCCAGATCCGGGCTTGTCAAACAATCCGTCAGGAACCGCCAAGCTCGCCGCATACTCTCACCACAACGTTTATCCAGTCAGCACATAAACGGAGGGCCTCTCGTTGGAAAAAAGGACACTCCATCGATCCTGAACCTTCTCCAGCTTTCCTGTACAATATCAGAGCACCATATCATGGCCAAAAAACTCATCACTATCCTGGGTATTACTGGAACACAGGTGCGTATGTCGTAATACACACGTCGTAGCTTGTAAACAGACTAACGTTACGGGGCTCAGGGTGGTTCTGTAGCCCGTAGATTCCTCACCCACACCGACTGGCGCATACGCGGACTCACGCGCAACCCTGGTTCCCCAAAGGCCAAGGAATGGGCCAACAAGGGTGTCGAAATCGTCAAAGGAGATCACGATGACTTGGAATCCCTCAAGTCTGCTTTTCAAGGTGCTCACGCCATCTTCGCCGTCACAGATTGGGCCGGCTGCTACTCGCGCGTGGCCGGGGACAAGACCCTTCAGAGCGAGGCAGCCAAGGCCGGCCTGTCTCTTGAAGAATACGCCGGTCACCTGGAGACCCTACAGGGCATCAACCTGGCAACAGCCGCTAGCGACCCCAACGTCCTTTCCACCCTCGAGAGATATGTCTTTTCCACTTTGGCGCCGGTCAAGCAGATCAGCGGCGGCAAGTACAAGAACTCGTACGAGTTTGACTCAAAAGCCGCAGCCGAACAGCACATCCGAGACAAGCTTCCGGAACTGCGTGCCCGCCTTAGTACCGTCAACATGGGCATCTTCCAGGAGACGTGGAGAGAGATTCCCGCATTTAGACCGCACAAGAAACCGGATGGCACGTTTGAATATATCCGTCTCAAATGCGACGGCCCGCACAAGGAATACCCAGAGGTTGTCGCGTCTCATGATACTGGTGCGTTTGTCGAAGCCCTGGTTCTTCACCACCCGCCCGGCACAGACGTCTTGGGTGCCAGCCAAATCATTTCCAAGGAAGATTACGCAGCTCTCTGGGCTAAGACGCAAGGAGTAGAAGCGACAGTGAGAGATGTCGACGTGCAAGAGTATATAAAGTATCTTCCGGAGGGCTTCGACAAGACTATGATTGACGATTTCCGGTTTTTCACTGAATACGGGTATGCGGGCGGAAACCCCAAGGTCAAGACACCGGCAGAGTTGGGTATCAAGACGACATCTTTGGAGGATTACTTCCGAAGCCAGGATTGGAGTGCCGTGTTGAAAGGGGAGATGTGATGTTGCTCGTCGACTGGTGTGATTCGATAATTTCCAACTGTAACATTCATATGACTACATGCACATCAACTTTCGAAGAATCAACCTAATTATTCATAATAAATACTGACAAATATGCCTTCCCAGAACAAATGTGAAAGTAATCATTCATACATACCTCTTGCACGCCCTTAGTGAAACAATCTTGCTCAAAATCTTGTTCCGCCGTTTTAATCCCCATCTTCCACCTCTTCAACTATAAACCCGGGCGTTGACAGCGGCTTCTCCCCTCTCAGACGACGCCATCGATTAGTCGATTCAAGAATTTCCGGACAGCCGATCATAAGCCAAGACCATCTTTCCAAAAACGGCTTGCTGACTTCCCAATTCTGCGGATCCCACGGCTCACCCCAGACCACGAGGCCTGTCCACTCGTGCTTGCCTCGGCCCGAATCCATAATGTCGTCGAACAGCTCTTGCTCTTCTTCCGCAGTTAGATAGCTACTAGTCGCTAGCAGCAAGTTATCGCGCATGCGAGGGAGAGGAAACAAGTCGAGCCACGGATGGTGCCTGATCGACAGCTGTACCACGGTCGGTACCAGATTACTCGGCACGGTGCCACTTTCCAGCGGCGGCGTCGTAGACCTGGCATCGCGTACTGGGCCGTCACGTCCAAACGGCGAGACAGCGGCGCACACGAGCCAGTCGAACTGGTAACCTAGCACGGCAGCGTTGCGGGTGAGACCATTGATGATGTTGAACTGGATTAGCCGGAGTTTGTGGTCCGCACACGGGTCGCCCGTCATGTAACTTCTTAGCGCTTGCTCGGCAAACTGCTCTAGCATCGCGCGCTCCCGGGCCACGTCCTCTTCAGAGCAGTGGCTGAATGTCGAGGGCACAATTCTGGAAGTGCTGCTGCTTCTGCTGCTGCACAACAAAGTCCAAGTGTCAGAGACCGTGGTGTCGGGCGTCGTGCTAGCCGCGCGGGACGCCGCATCAGACGAGTCGTCTTCATCATGACTTGTTTTCCGCCTTTTCCGCTGCCTTGCTGTATGTCGATACAAAAACCGAGCATTAGACTTGGGCTGAGAAAGCAGAATAGGGTTGTACATCTGGGATCGGGTGTCACTCACAAACGCGTTTGTTCAGTCTGTTCTGGAGCCTCTTGCGCTCCTTTGGGTTCGTTATGCCCGCCCAGTCTTCGCCCGGTCGTCGTATGTATGCTGCATGTGGCATGCGCTGCAACTCAACACAGGGCGCATATGACACGGTCATAGTACTGCCATGCTCCATGGTAGAAGGTTGATGGTTGATGGGTGGGGCTAGGGTTTGAGTATGAAGTGGTAGTAGCCCGGACCCAACGTCCCAGCTGGATATAGTAACCAATCTCACGTGATTAGAGTACTTGGCCGCCTTGGCTGACGGAATTCAATGCGCCCCAGCTGAATAAGACCGCGCTAACACATAGCATGCGATCGAAGGTTCTACCTCAATAGTATATTCACTTCCCATTATAGTCGTTAGCGAGATCGGGTTCCGCCTGCACTCTCTAGCGCAAACGTATCTTATATGGTGGCACGATACAACATTGAGCTCAAAAGATCAAGCGGCGATCTGCAATCGAGCTGATATAGCAGAGCGGGGATCTAATGCCTTCATTGCATCGAGTGAAGAAGGCAGTCGATCTACAAAGTCTAAAAGAAGCCATGATATATATCTCCAGCTTGATCACGTGATACGATACCACAACATGGTTTGCTTAGAGTGGCTATGAGACAATCCCAACGCAAAAGTGTTCGAACAGCCATCAGACTTGATGTACTATATATATTTTGATATTACACAGTCATAGGGAAAATTAATAGCAGGGACGAGACAACCAATCTTCCCGCTAATATCAAGATTGATTTCGAGCTTCGGGGAGTATTCTAAAGCAATAGTTTTCTAAGTAAAGGCATTTCTAAATACTTTCTATTACAAAGTATATGAGAACCTTGCGTGTCTAGTGGGGCAGTAGACTGGAGAGTAATGATGAGAAAAGCTATCTAGTGCTTGATTGCAGCAACTCGAAAATGACCCCGTTCTCTGCCTTAGTTGCCAATGAAAGCGGTGTGCGACCAAATTTGTCCATCCAATTGACATCGACCTTGTCTGTATCAAGTAGTAGCCTGACCACATCCTCGTGCCCTCTTTCAGCTGCCCACCAGAGCGGTGTCCTTGCTTTTTTGTCTTTAGAGTCGACTCTAATCGTACCTGTACTAAGGAGTAGATTGACTATAGTTGCGTGCCCTTTTTCAGCTGCCCACGAGAGTGGCGTCCAACCAGACACATCCTCCAAGCCCGGATCAACATCATCTTTTGAAAGTAGTAATTGTACTATAGTTTCGTGCCCTCCCTCGGCTGCCCACGAGAGTGGTGTTCGCCTAAAAGCATCCTTAGAGTCGATCTCAACATTACCTGTATCAAGTAGCAGCTGGAATATAGCCTCGTGCCCTTTCTCGGCTGCCCACGAAAGTGGCGTTCGATTCGATTGACTATCCTTCATGTCCGGATCGACATCATCTTTTGCAAGCAGTAGGCGTACTACAGCATCATGCCCATTCTTTGCGGCCCATGATAACGGTGTCAAATCGTATTCCGTTTCCAATTTGTCCGAATGCTGTATCCCAAATGCTGTCTCATAGCCCATGACTGCCTCTTGAAGTCTCTTTCGCGCCTTTTTACTTTTTCTCACATCTGCCAATACTCGTGCAACGGTCCATATTCTAGTAGCTCTTTCCAAAGGGCCATGAAGCTCCGTCGAACATTGCAACACTCGATCATATCTTTCTGGGTGTTGTGATTTGTCTAAAGAAATTTCCCAGTCCCACACAAGTACCAAATCGTGAATGAAGAGTATTTCTAATTGTAAAAATGTTGACCAATCAATAGATCCAGCTATCACTGGAATCTCCGTTAAAGGCCTAGCTGCGATCGCTATAACTTCAAAATGATCTTGACGTTGTCTGATAATCGTTGGGTTCGAAGCGCCTTGGAGAAGGCAAATGATGTCTCCATCTCGGACGGATGTTGTTGATGTCTGAAGAGGTAGAGAATCGCTTATCTCTCCATTCTTGAAAATGACATGCACATTCACTCTCTCATTCTGAACGGCGTTGCTTTGTACAAATAACACTTTGCCAAGAACAAAGCCCTTGCCTTTGATGACTGCAATCTCGCGACCAACTCCCAAAATCTCTACAGATATCTCTTCACACAGTAGATACTTGGTAAGTCGCTTTAAGAGTTCTTCCCAGGAAACGGTGTAATCAGGCAATAGCCTTGATTTGCTGAGATCATCAGAGCTCATACCCAGTAAGGCGAATACCCTGTCATGGCTCTTGGTAGCCTCATGGGCACGGTACAAATCCACTAGCTCCCCTAGTGGGCAGATATCCAGAGAATATCTACCTGATCTGCTCATAGAGAAGCTAGATCTAAAGATTGATCCCCTTATCAGGTAGGTTACTGAACTGGTTAAACTCTGCAAGCCTGCACGAACGTCGTCAAACCGTTGAAACGAATCTATACCTAAAGCGAAGGCGCATCCATCTATCTCCATAGATCCACACATAACTAATATATGACGCGCCGCAGCAACTTCCTGCAGTACCTAGATCAATCTATTAGTGCCATACAAATCCTGGAAAAAGTACACAACTTCCATACCCAGATGCGCCGAAACCACGGTCGTTGAAGTAGAGCAGTAACTGCTTGCTGAGACATTCCGTCGCAAAGGGGAATTTGCGGCATGGTGCCTCCAGCAGCGCGTATCCAATGGAGCGCTTGATCGCTGTCTTCTGCTACCTCCCCAAGCCAAACAATTACACGATTTGCTAATGCGTAGATCTTTGCCATGAACTGAATTTGTTGTTCTCTCTCTCGATCATCGTTTTGATTGATGCAGACAGCATCGATCCATATGATTCGTTCAAAAAGAGAGTATCGCAGACGTGCCAACGCCGCGTGAAGGTTTTGCGTCACGGGTAGGCCATTTCCGCTCGTGGGATCATGTTCCCGTACGAAGATAGATTGAGGATTGTCTGCGCGACCCCAAACATAGGACAGAGCTTCATATGGATGCGTTCGTCTTCCTGATTCCTGCAGAGAGTAGTGGAAGAGCTCGCATTGGATGGGCGCTGTTTCGTCTTCACTAGGAAGTAGGCGAAGTAATCGAATGCTGTCTGGTAACAAAGGTTCGCGATAACAACCAAGGGATGGGAAAGTAGACATCGTGCTCTGAAATGTGAATTGTGTGAATTTTGGATAGTCCTGGCGGGGAGTGTAATGAACCCAACAAAAGTCGTCCCATCGCTTCTGCCTGGACATTTGGCAGCCACCCCCGCTAAATCACGTGATGTACGACCAACGATTGTGGAGACAAAAGTGACCATCTGAGTGTGCAGGGCGGAAACCAGATTCGCTAGCGACTGTAACTAAATCTATACCCTGATATGAGACCTAGAGGAAGGGTTACTTCTAATCACATGTTGGATACTAGGCCACAGCAGTCGTAATCACATAATGCGTACAGCTCCTACCAAACGCTAAACAAAACCATGGAAGTGATTCTTGATTTATCCCTTGTAAGCTCTACCGAAATCCATATACCAAACACGTTAAACTTAACTAATTCGCCTTACGCTGTATCTCAACGCGCTCTTAGCTCGCGAGAAGATAGTATGCGCACGTTGGATGCCTAACGCCAAAAGGTAATCATTGTCCTCCCCCCCTCTTTCCGCGGAGTTATATAAGAAAGAAGGTAACAAGACAAGGCTCAAAGCAAGCAGCTCATGATAGAATAGCTTACAAGATCGACTGCTAGTCACGCATTATACAAGACGCTTAGCCTGCAGAGGTCTCTACTTCTCTTTGTGTCTTTTTATCTTCGTTAGAGGTAGCTACTATGAAGGTACCACTGACGTTCTAAAATGCTAAAAGGTCGCGAATATTTAGACATCAGTACGATGATATCGAATAGAAATGTATATTGTAGAGCAAATTATCAAAGATAGTAGCAGGGATACATACATCACTGTGACGGTGGGCAGCTTCATCATACTGAATTTTAGTCTTGTTAGAAAACATTCGCTAAAGGGCTATTCATTTTGCTTACTATCCTACGCCCTGGGCTCCGCTCCTGCATCTAGTAGCAGCTGATGTATCCCCCGGTGATTTCTCTCGACCCATTCCAGTACTGTTTTCCCAACCATGTCTGTCGCGTTAACGTTCGCTGCTTTATCTATACGTAGCCGCATTATCCCCTTGTTCCCTTCCACAGCTACTGATTGCAGCGCCTTCATTCCCATCCCGCTCTTCACCTCGATGTCTACCCCTTTATCTAGTAGTAGCCGCACTATCGACTCGTTCCTACCCAGAACCGCAAAGAACAGTGCTGTCGCGCCTTGCTTGTCCCTCGCCTCAAGGTCCGCTCCTCTGTCTGATAGCAGCCGCACTACTGCCTCATTCCCTTGCTCGATTGCCAAGTATAGTACCGATTGCCCCCAATTGTCTTTTGTTTTAGGGTCTGCTCCTCTCTAATAGCAGCCGCACTAATACCTCATCTCCTCGCCTCATTGCCAAGTATAGTGCCGTTCGCCCAGCTCCGTCCTTGCTGTCTATTGGAAAGTAGCGAAAAAGTCTCAGGCGGCGTTTTGCCAGCACAGCCTCTACCCATGGTATAATTTCCAAATTGCATGCCATATGCAGTAATGGTGGGGCCTCATATTCACATTCTATGTCCCCAAAATAGGTCCTCCACCAATGCTCGCGCAAATGAGATACTTTTTGGCGGAAGATTTCAGAAAAGTCCAAGAGCTTTGCTGATAGTGCATGACAGCTTTTCGCGTGCTTAGGCCAGTGGGGCGCTGCATATCGCAAGAGGGGAGGCAATTGGCAATCTAGCTCAACGTCTAGATCAATAATTCTGTATCGCAAGTCGCTCTGTGAAATATATTCAAGACACTTTTGTGTAAGCTCGAGGTGCGCACTTTCTAAGTTAAATTGAAACGTCTTAAGTACTGTATTACCATCGCACTCTATGCGCAGCAGGTAGTCCCGCGCTAACTAGTGGACGAGGCTTACTTTCTCCTCCTGTGTCTTTAGTAGAGGTCCGCACAGAGTAACAGCGTCGCGTGCTATATATTCTACAGTCATTTAAGGAGTAGCCTGGACATTTACTGCCGCCGCTAGCTCTTTTAGTTGTGGAGGGCGAACAGCTATAGTTACCTATTACAAGATTGCCTAGCTTAGTATTCTCTACTTCGCTGGGATCCGTAGCAGCATATAACTGTATATCGCTGGAAGGCTAGTTAGTAGATACTTAAGCGTCTCCTAAACCTTAATGCATGTCTGCTTCTGTGATGGTTCGTGCATTGCGAAGCCTACCCATCCTTCAGTGCGTCGGAGAAGACTGTCGTGTACAGACTTGCGAAATTTATCGTTAAAGCCCTTCATGCCAGACAGCTCCTCTACTGGGGCGAACACGAACAGCTCAATATCGCTAGCTACTCTCTCATCGTTATCAGGATCTATCTTCACCCTCGTCGTGCAGCTTCGGAGACCAGGAAAGTTTCGGCTAAGGATCGCCAGCTTGAAGGTACATACCATTCGTCGACGATGGCGTTGGAGGTGCAAGTAGGCCTACGAGTTTAGGCAAGAATGCTCTCAGCGTGCTGTCCTCGCACTCATCGAGGCCATCAAGCACGCAGAATACGGTCCCGAGCTCAATGTCGGTGATGGTATTGCTGAAGATAATCCAGAGTGTCTCTAAAGACGACAGCGTCTGCTGTATCCTCTCTGGTGGCCTAAAGTAAGGCAGCGCGTACTTAACTAAGCATGGGCGCTTAACAATGATCTGGTGTACTAGTCCTCACAATACTGCTATCGCCGTGTTGCGTCTCTTATCCCCGGCGCTGTAGAAGAAGAACACTAGGTCTGTATTGTCCGTACGCGCTGTATGTTCCTCTAGCTGCTCCGTCAGGAAAACAGATATCATCGTCTCGCCCTTGCCGAGCCCGCCAGAGATCCACAGGAGTCGCGTATCGCCATTGCCATCTCCATCATTGTCTCTGTCGCTATCGCTCCTAAGCCAGGTGCGGTAGGTCTCGTTCTGCGTGATCTACTCGCACGTACCCGCGACTCTCGTACCTTTCGCACTAATCACGCTCTCGCGGTCGACTTCGGGATCAGTGAGATACAACGCGTCACGACATGCGAGTGCCGCTTCCTCCTCGGCGTCTATCAAGTAATTGTATTAGTTGCAGGCACCCGAGAGAGTGGAAGTGTGCAAAACCTGTCTCAACTATTCAGGCCGGAAGCGAGATGGGTTCACTAACCTCTCGGGGTGAAGACGCTCGGAATTTGTAAACCACCTTCTCGTACATGGGCATTAATTTGCACCCCGTTGCCACTTACATGTCCTCCACTGATATCAACCTTTTGTGGGTCGCTCCACATTCCGGTTTCGATCGATGCATCAAAGTATTAGCAACAAGAGTATAGAATTGTCGCAGGACAACAATTTCTGGAAAAATAAACAAGATATGCATTGGTATGCGAATACATGCAGTCTATAGTGGTGGGGGTTCCGACTTCTTGAAAGATCCACCTCGCGTATCGTACTCTTAAAAAGCCTGGACAGCCTTCGCTAATTGTAAGTGAAAGTTCTCGGAATCAGTAACGCAAAACTGATGCTTAGCAGGGAAGATACACATGCATATAAGCGGTACAAACAAATAGAGAGCTGGGTTGTTAGGTTAGGCTGCCTTGCGCCCGGTATTAGCCGCGCAAAACACAACTCAAGGTCTACTAGCTGGTCCAATCATTACACGTAGCCTCGAAAACTGCGAAGGCGCACCCAAACGCTTCGGTGAATAGCTGAACCAGACGATGCGACATTCGATTGAGGACAAGATGTCTAAGGTTGACAGGTTAAAGAGTGCAATCTTCGGCCAGAGGAAGATTGATGCCTTTAGGGGCCAACTAGATAACTATAAAGCCACACTTCAACTTGCACTCACGACTGTAGTAATGTAAGTATTGCAACATCCACTAGTGATAGTATTCAATTGTGTAGCTAACTAACGCAGATATGCTAGGCTCTCCAATCCAGCATTTACGCCGGACACAATATCCGAGAAGGCTCAACAGCTGGAAAAACATGAAAAGGATATCGGGAAAAAGATGGCCGTGACAAAAGGGGTTGAAACTAACATTGAGGAGAAGATAAGACAGCTAAACATAGCTTCAGACATTGCAAGCAATAACGCAGGACAGGTACAACAGGAGCCCTTTCCAGCCTCGGTGGATGACGAGTCCAAAGAAGAAATGAAGGAGCTGATAAGCGAGCTGCAGCACCTGAAGTCCTCGAGCCAGGCATACTGCCAGCTTAGCGAGGAGGCTCTCAGCAAGACAATGTCCGAACGTACTGGAACCAATGTGTCGATAAGAGGAGTTACAGTGAAAGAACAGGGACTCGCAATCAGTGGCGTCATTTCAGAAACGAGTGAAGAGCTCAAGATTCAGCTGGACATCTCAAATGTCACTGTCAGAGACCAGGGCATTGCGGTAAGCGTGGTTGCAGACAAACTAGACCTCAGTGCAATTTTTGCTGCGTGCAACAAAGGTGTGAGACTCCATGCAGGAGACAAAAAACCCATCGAAAGCAATGGACATATTCTTGGTCGTCAAACAACTGCAGACAATGCTGGAGTGGCTGAGGTCCAGTCGCCTGCTGAACAGGTCAGGACTAACCGCATACTACGCTTCTCTTAGAGATGGTAGCTGCTGGGGGAAGAACAAACTATGCATTCATTGCTTGAAATCAAGATGTTAAATTGAATAAATATTCATATATACATATGTATCCAAGAAAAAAAGAACTATTAAACACTTTTCGAATTGCTAGTAAAAACCACATAAAAGCTACTATCAATGCGATTAAGAACAAAAACACCCAAACAAAGGAAATGTGCCCAAACTCTAGCTCTGGTCATTTACCGCCAATAGCCTTAGCCAAACCACCTGCAGCCTGCTTACCCAGCTCCTCCAACGTTCCAAAGCCCAAAAGCTGCAGCACACTAATATCAAAGCCAAACGTCTGTCTCCACCAGTTGCGCAGCTCGATGCCGACGAGCGAGTCGAGACCGAGTTGCTGCACGGGCATCGTGATGTCGAGCTCCTCATCATCGGGTCGCAGCAGCAATCGCATGAGCTGCTTTCCGATCTCAGTGCCAAAGTAGACCGCCGTCTCAGGCTTGGCGAGCGTCTCGGCGTCGTTCTTGGCCGCGGAGAGGAACGCCTTGAAGCCGTCGTTGCCACTGCCTCCCTTGCCCTCGTCACCGTCGCTGATGTTGTACCACACGCCCGTCCGGAGGTCTTTCTTCCAGAAGGTACGGTTTTCAGGGTGGGTGAACGACTTGTCGGAGCCGAAGCCCGTGGCAAATGTGTTCTTGTGGGCAAAGGCACTCTTCTTGGTGTTGATGTTGAGGGAGGGCACGGGGTATGACGCTGCTGCGCGGAAAGCCTCGATCATCTCGGACTCTGTGACGCCAGAGTAGCCGTTCTTGATGAGCCTCTGCAGCAGCTGCTGATCACGGGCGGCGTAGCCCATGTCGGCAACAGCACCAATATCGATGGAAGATGCTGGAAGTCCGTTGCTGTTGCGCCACAATGCAAAGGCGTCTAGGAAAGTGTTGGCGCCCGCATAGTTGGCCTGACCAGGCTGGCCGATGGCGCCAGACATGGATGACAAGAACACGAAGAAGTCGAGATTGATACCGGCTCCAACTGTAGCCTCGTGGAGGTACCAAGCACCCTTGACCTTTGGACTGGTGGCCTTGATCCACTGCTCCACCGTCATGTTGCGGAATGCCTCATCCTGGAGGAACATGGGTGAGTGAAGAATGCCCTTAAGGTTGGGCGATTGCTTAACGGCGCGGAAAACGTCTTCCCTGTTGCTGATGTCGCCCTTGACAAGAACAACTTCGCAGCCCATGCTCTCAAGTTCTTGGATGGTGTTAATGTCTTCAGGGCGTGTTCCAGGGTTTCGTGAGAAGCAGACGATGCGGCGGGCTCCATTCTCAACCAAGTGCCTGGCAATGACGGTGCCGATACCACCCAAACCTCCTGCGAGCAGGTATGAGGCTGTCTTGTCAACCGTGAACAAGTCATCAGCGACCTTGATCGTGCTGGCGTTAATCTTGAGCTCGCCATTTGTGTCCCTGAGCTGGAGAACAACCTGGCTTAGTTCCTCTTCCTCTTGCACGTGCTTGATGGCATCCTCGACGCCCGCAGCCTCATACACCACCCGAGAGTTGATTGGAGTAATGCTGCCCTCCTTCAAGTACTTGACCGTCGATTGGAGCAGTCTGCAAGGAAAGCATATTGTTAGTTCTAAGTCCGATGGCATAAAGGCGTCTCGGTGTATGCACTTACCCCTTGACAACAGCCGGTTTCTTGGCTACCAAAGCCTCCAAATTGACACCAGTGTAGCTTCTACCTCCCAAGAAGGCGTTCAGCTCCAGCTTACCCGCCCCAACAAGATCCGTAGTGCCAATCTCAATCATCTTTCCGAACTCAGCAACACACTTCCAGGTAGCGTGCAAAAGATCACCAGACAGCGAGTTCAGAGCAAGGTCAACACCCTCTCCACCCGTTGCTTCCAGAACACCCTGCAAGAAGCTGTCATCCAAAGACGAGAAGATATGACTCTTTGGAATATCAAAATTTTCAATGAGGTACTTGGCTTCCTCCTCAGTCTTAACAGTTGCATATACGTCTGCCTTTGACGCCTTCGCGAGTTGCAATGCAGCGCGGCCAACATTGCCAGTGGCGTTGTGGATGAGAACAGACTATTGGTCATGTTAGCTCAGAATCCTCACTTTCCTCCATTTCTTAGGCAAAGATGGAGGGGAAGTTTGCTTACCTGTCCAATTTGTAGGTTTCCGGTAGAGTGCAGAGCTGCAAGTGCCATTCCAAACGCAGCAGGAAGAGTTGCTGCTTCTTCGAACGAGATGCTATCAGGAATCTTCTCAAGCAGTTTCTCTGACACACGCAGATGTGAAGAGAAGCTACCAGAGCCAAGACCAATTACACGGTCGCCAACAGCGAAACCCTTGACGTCGGGTCCGATGGCAGAGATTCTACCAGCGGCGCTTCTGCCGAGACCTCCAGCAGGGTACGGGCTATTGCCCATGACTTCGGCAACATCCTAGAAACGAATCAGATTCTATCGACTGCATGAAGTGAGCGTGATAGAGGAAAAGTAAACGTACCTTGGGTGTAAGTTCAGAGTAAAAGACCTCGACATCGACCTGATCTCCAACCAGAGGCTGAGTTCGACGTGACACCCAACCTAGAGTGTTCAGACGACCAGGCCTCTCAGCCACCAGAGATACGCGCTCGTTAGTGGCACGGCTAGAGGTGCGCTCATCACCAAAGGTGAAGGGGTAGAAGCGAGGTACATTGATAGTGTCGTTGACAATCGCGTACTCGTAGTTGGGCCTGAAGAACTCATCTTCCTTCTGCTTCTGGAAGTGAGTGAAAGCATCAGCGACCAGATCTAGTGAAGCGCTCACATCATCAACCTCGCAGGTAGCAAAGTCGATGGTGTCTTCGTGGCGAATGGAGCGGATGGCACCAATCACAGTCGCATATCGCGGATCCGCAGACTGCATTTGAGATGGGCGGGTGATCCAGAAGAAGCCCCGGTCGCCAATATTGGCAATAAACCTTTGCAAAGCCTGGAAACGGTTCTGGTCAATGTTTTCGAAGAAGGGGCTTTCCTCGTCAAGGAGACTGATCACATATTGAGACTCTTGCGGCAACTCAGCCCCGAAACTACACTTGCTGACCTTGTAGCCTCGGCTCTGGAGCTTCCGACTGACAGCATCGACATTCTTTCCATCGTGCTTGTATGCTAGCACAGTGACATGCTTGTTCTCGGCTGGCTTGGTGTCTTCTTCCGGTCTCGCAATGATGACAGCGTGGGACTGGTATGGAGCTGGCGAGTCTAGCGCAATGGCTGGAGCAGCGAAGCCAGCGCGCTTCAGCTCGGCCTCCCAGCGCTCCGGAGAAACGTAGGGTTCGTCAGGTCGCCCATCGTTTTCGCCAATCCACCATTCGTCAAGGAAGCCAAGAATGCAGTTGACCCACTTCGTCTGGGTGTTGAGCTCTTGCAAGAGGAGGCGGCCTCCGGGTGCCAAAAGCTTACGGATGTTGGTCAGAGAATCGCACAAGCTTGGAGTAGCGTGGACACAGTTTGTCGCGACAATGAGATCATATTTGTCCTCCTCCTTAAAGCCCTGCTCGGCCAAGTCCTTGGAGATGTCCAGGGTGCGGAAGTCCATGTTATCAAAACGCTGGAACTGCTTCTTGAGTCCGGCGAGGGTGCTCGACTGAGAATCGGTCAAGGTGTATCTATAGTAGAGGGATCCGCCGTTGGGAAGACTCAGATCCTTGATGATAGACGAGGCCAGTTCTCCTGTGCTGCCACCAAGTTCCAAAATACGAAGACTAGGCCTTGCGTGAGCCAAGCTCTTGAGGAACGCCGACTTATCGGTAGTGTTGGCTGCATTATAGAGTTTTGTAAGAAGATCATCATGAGAGAGGACTTCGAAGATGTTCTTTTCACCGGTCACCAACTCGACGAAGTTCCCACCAACTTCCAAGATGCAGTCAGCAGCGGGAGCAAGCGGCGACCCCGCCAAGCTCTCTCCAATAGTGTGGGCTCTTTCAACAATTTGTTCCATACTGAGAGCTTGTGCTGGGTGGTTCTTATCCAGGGTTTGGTATTGACGGCGAACCCAGGTTGCAAACCGCTGGACCGTGGGGTTCTCCACTAGCTTGACATCGTCGATACATCTCTGGAAAAAGACGTAGCAGAGCTCAGTCAGCTCTTGAAACAAAGGCGCCCACGTTGCCCCATCGACTTTGGATGTGATGAGAGAAGCCACATCGACAAAGTCCACGTGAGGCTGCCAGCTTAGACGTCCGCTGATGGGAAGCTTATGAACAACATCCTTGTCACCCTGTTCGATAGGTGTGAATGCTGCCTTGGGCATGTCCATTACTGCCTTGCCGTCTGCAGTGACTTGGAAACGACCTCGAATTTCACCACTGCCAGGCTGAATATGCGTTGATGCTGATGCGAACATTCCTGCTTCTGGGTTGCTACGGAAGATGGTCACCTCCTCGATCAACGTAGGCATCGCGGCGCAGTTGTTTGCGTCAAGCTTGCCAGATCTGGCAGCGACAAGTCCCATTTGAAGGGCAGCATCGATGACTGTCGGATGAAGGTGGTACTTGTTCTCATCTCCATTCAAGTTCTTAGTAAGACTGCTCACAGCCCTGGTCTCGAGGGGGTGTGCGCTGATCTGGTCCAGACGCTGGAATGCTGGCCCGTATTGCATTCCAGACTTTGCGAGAGTGTTGAAGACCTTGAAGGTATCCAACTTCCGAGGAAGCGACTTGACCTCTTCAGCCTGCTTTGGCCCGGCAGATGGAACAGCCGACACTCGGCCGACACAGTGCTTCACCCATGAGTTACCATTGTAGGAGGCAATTGAGAATTCCCACCACTGACTATCTGCAGTGTCAGTCAGTCGTAGAGGGCGGAGATTCGTAACGATCTCAGTATCAACACCCTCCTGCAACATCAGGGCCTGGCTGAGCACCATATGGGAAAGGCTATAGGAGTCTTCGATACCACTCAGCTGTCGAATCGCCTCGCCTGCCATTGCAAAGTAGCCTGCGGCAGGGAAGACAACAGCACC